CGGGGACCCTATAGTCATAAGCCATATTTACTGTATCGACGAGAGCCCTTTTGTCTGGGAGCCATTTGTCACAGGCCTTGTTGGTGGAGTTAATTAAATGGGGACGTTTAGATCATGTAAGGCCTACATTTTGTTGGGTACATTTTGTTGGGTACATTTTGTTGGGTACATTTTGTTGGGTACATTTTGTTGGGTACATTTTGTTGGGTACATTTTGTTGGGTACATTTTGTTGGGTACATTTTGTTGGGTACATTTTGTTGGGTACATTTTGTTGGGTACATTTTGTTGGGTACATTTTGTTGGGTACATTTTGTTGGGTACATTTTGTTGGGTACATTTTGTTGGGTACATTTTGTTGGGTACATTTTGTTGGGTACATTTTGTTGGGTACATTTTGTTGGGTACATTTTGTTGGGTACATTTTGTTGGGTACATTTTGTTGGGTACATTTTGTTGGGTACATTTTGTTGGGTACATTTTGTTGGGTACATATTGTTGGGTACATTTTATTGGGTACATTTTGTTGGGTACATTTTCTTATTGGGCCGTTTGGCGTAAGAAAATCGCTTGCCGAATTCATTTTGTATTATTTTATGTATAAATGTTTTTTTTTTCTATAATTTTGTGTACAATGTTAATTAAAAATGTCAGATTTTAATTACTTTGCATCTGAAACATTTAAGGACGATTTATGCAGAGGAAGCAGAGTTGACACCTCGTTAAACTAATTAGGTCAGACGGTCATTTATTTCCCGAACATTTTAAAGATGTCCGCCTTCAGCTGACGTCAGCAAATTGTGTGATAGAAGCTACCAGTGTTTCTTTCAGACTTTTTTCTCCGGTTGGGGGGGGGGGGGGGGGGGGAGGGGCGGACAAAATTTTCCGGGGGAGGAGGGCACACACACCGATTTAAAAAATATATTTTATACATAAATTCTAGTGAAGCGCCACCCGATGAGAGATACCTGAAAGAAACACTGGAAGCTACTGACGTCATAGTTTGTATGACAGCAGCAGTTAGCGAACATTCCAGAATAGAGTGGACGTGAATCTTGACCTGGACAGTCTGAACACGGCCTACCTGGAATATCCGCAGCACGGAAATGGCTGATGTCAAGGGAAATAACTCTGATGGTGTGATTAGCAATTAACTAGGAAAGTAATTAATGAAACGGTTGTAGGTTCGGATATTTTTGGACGAATTAATGTTAAAAAATTCAAAATACGCCTTTCATCTTACCGTCTTGTCACCATTACGTGTATGATCACATTTTACTTTCTCGTATATACGAAGTATAGAGAAAGTCTTGTAATCCTGGAAAAAAAAAATCGAGATTTTTGCAAATATCGATGTTTTATACCTCCCTGAATCGAAAAAACAGTTTTGCAATCTTTTCCGTATGTCTGTGTGTGTGCGTATGTGTAAGCACGATAACTTGAGTACCGTTACAGCTAGGTTGATGAAATTTCATATATAAGTAAAATCGTAGATCCGTGTTAACTTTTGAGCGATTTCCGCTAACCGGAAGTGGAACTTTTTCTACTTTGAATTTTTCAAAAGCCTATAACTTGAGTACTATTTCAGATAGATAAATGAAATTTCACATGTAAGTAAAAGATCTAATTCTCTACCTTCTTTCAAACTTTGGAAGTAGTAATTAACGCTATTTCCGATTTCTCAAAAAACGCATGTAAATTTATAAACTACTAATAATATTCTGCACTATTACGCACATTTTGTTTGGCGTTCACTTGGTGTGCAATTATTTTTTGTACGAATTTTTTTTCTATTTTTAAAACTTTAAGTATTTAAAATGGATTAAAAATCATGTCTATATCCCGAGTTGCCATTTCCTGTTGTTGTATATAAGAATATTCGAGAAAGTTTAGGGGAGATCACTCCCGGTCTATTTAGAAATTATAAAAAAAATTATGAAATTTGTATAAATTGTAAATGAAGTTGATTCTAAAACAGCACACACTATAGACACAACTTTCGGACACAGAAATACGTTCGGACATAGAAACGCGTTCGGACATAGAAACACGTTCGGACATAGAAACACGTTCGGATATAGAAACACCAGATAGTTTGGTCACCACACGCCAACACTACAACACAACTTTTATTTGACGTTCACATTCTGATACTCTAGCTCCGGTAGTGGAAGGAAAAATAGGAGACAAATGCATTGTCTGTTTTTTTGGCACCAGTCTAACGTCATTTAAAGCTTAAAAGTGCAGCTATACTATGTAGGCTGGCGGTCCATGGCATCGTTCTAATGTAGGCTGATAGAAATACCGCAGTGTAAGGTAGTGGCATACTGGCCACTGTATGAAGTAGTGGCATACCTCCCACTGTAAGAGGTAGTGGCATACCTCCCACTGTAAGAGGTAGTGGCATACCTCCCACTGTAGGAGGTAGTGGCATACCTCCCACTATGACAGATAGCCTCCAAAGTTAGTTAAATAAACCGGGAGTGATCTCCCCTAAACTTTCTCGAATATTCTAATATAAAATTACGAGGGATGGCAACTCAGGACATAGACAATATTTGTTATCTATTTTTAATTACTTAAACTTTTTATAATAGAATAGAATCTCGTAAAAAAAAGAATTGCACACCAAGTGAAAAGTTTCCCTTTCAAACCTGACGGACTATGGGGCAAGTGAAGTAGAGTTCACTTGTTTCTGTGACCTCGGCATATGAAGAGATAGTGTGGTCGGAACTATGCCCAGCCGCCTTTACTTTCCCTAACAGGAGTTAGGTACCCATCACAGTTGCGTGGACTCAGTGACGGTCTACTGACTTGAACCCGGATTCAAACTCGAGACTAACGGGTTAGCAGTCCAGCTCTCTACCGCTAGACCACTCCGTCCCACACCAAGTGAACGCCTAATAAAATGTGCATAAAAGTGCGGGATATTATTAGTACTTTATAAATTTACATGCGGTTTTTGAGAAATCGGAAATAGCGTAAATTAGTACTTCCGGTAAACGGAAATTACTCAAAATTTGACCGAAGGTAGAGAATTAGATCTTTTACGTAAGTGTGAAATTTAATGTATCTATCTAAAATAGTACGCAAGTTATAGGCTTTTGAAAAATTCAAAGTAGAAAAAGTACCACTTCCGGTTATCGGAAATCGCTCAAAAGTTGAACAGGATCTACGATTTTGATAAAATACTTATATATGAAATTTCATCAACCTAGCTGTAACGGTATTCAAGTTATCTTGTTTACACACAGACACACAGACATACGGACAAGATTGCAAAATTATGTTTTTCCGTATCAGTGAGGTGTAAAACGTCGAGATTTGTAAAAATCTCGATTTTTTTTCGCCCGATTACAATACTTTCTCTATACGAGAAAGTAAAAAGTTGATGAGCTAACCTTCAACCTTGTCGACAGAACTTTTGTGGCCAGCGCCTCGTTGTGACACCAGGAAACCTTGTCAGCCGTGACGTCAATCGTATGTAGGTCAGATCTTAAAATAGCCCCGTCACTAAACCGCTGTGGTTTACAAATCGAAAGAGCCCGTAAATTTCGCGTTTCCACTTTGCCGCGATGTCAAATTTTTTTCACCTCTTATCTCAAATAAATAATTGATGGGTTGTGAGACAAAAATACCAAATGCCATCAGGAATTTTAAATTAGTTTTATTTTAATTAGAGAAGTGGGGTGAGACAATTCACTTGTAGTCAGTTGTAGTAGAGACTCAGGGTTAGGATAAATGTGGTTTTCATGTAACACAAGCTTTACTTACAAAGGTGGGTTTTTCAACCACTTCACACATTTGAAACGCAACTGACTTTTACAGAATAAATAGCTGTCTTGGAAAACAATAGCACAAGGCAAAAGCGTTATGGACAATAGCACTAGACTATAGTACTAGGCAAGGCAATAGCACTAGATGTACTGGGCTAAAAACAGAAAAATATGAACTTATTCAGTTAAACTCGAGAAATAATGTTTTTAATTAAGCTTGTCCACCCCCCCCCCCTCCCCCACCGCGACCTAGACAACAACTAAAACACACGCACCCCTGACAATAACAGTGGCACAGAAGACATGATAGAGCCTAACTCTCTTTTTGTTGATGCAGCGTTTCTTTCAGACATTTGTTTTTGGGGGAGAGTTGAAACTTTACGTGGGGCGGATTTAAATTGCCAGGTCGGGGGCGGATTTATATTTCCAGGGGGGGGGGGGGGGGAGCGGATACTGGTTGAAGCAGATTTTTTTAATATAAATAGATTATATAACAGCACACAAAACTAACCGGATATGACGACACGAGCAAAAGTTGGAAATGTCAAAAACCCACCAAACATCCGCTCAGTCCAACGAGTCAGCAGATATCACTTTTGTTGAGTGTAGGACGTCTTGGTCAGCTCATCAAAGTGTTAGGGACGTTGTCGTGAATCAGGACGTGATGACGTCAGCATTTGTCTGACAATGTCCGACATGGTGACAGGACCCACATGGCACTGTCAATGTTTTGTGACTGATGGCACTGTGGGAACATGGGGTCATATGGGACATGGGGTCATATGGGACATGGGGTCATATGGGACATGGGGTCATATGGGACATGGGGTCATATGGGACATGGGGTCATATGGGACATGGGGTCATATGGGACATGGGGTCATATGGGACATGGGGTCCTTTGGGACTTGGGGTCGTTTAAATGTCGGTTCCACGGGAACATGGGTTTCATGTAAAAGGGCTCCGCGGAATCCCTGTCAACAGATGAAACTGGGAACAAGCGAAACAGCCGACGGGAACAGGGAACCCCATGGGAACTCTCCAGTACCAGGAACCCGTGTAACGTCCGTCAAGATGTCAGCTGTTACGTCATAGAGGCGGAGCAATTTGTCATGCGGGAGACGGTCACGTCAGGTCGCTCAAACCCGGCTTTGGTCGTTGATTGGTCGAGCGTGGTCGCTCAAAACCAGTGGCATGCCGGGCAGGTAGCAGACGTCAGTCGTGTCTGGCGGTGTCGGGGCGCGGAGTGGCGGGAAGGTAGGTAACTCGGCCTTGGTCGTCTGCTAGATATTCAATCTCGGCCTTGGTCGTCTGCTAGATATTCAATTAGATCTTTGGGCCATACATAATGTAAACAGAATTGGTCACACTTTTTCTGATTTTCGTTATGCATTTCAAATCTTGGAAAAATTATTTGCTCGATGTTTAAATGTAACAAAAAAATGTAAATATATCAAATGAAGTTAAATAACTAGCAAATTATTGATTCATATATATATATATATATATATATATATATATATATATATATATATATATATATATATATATATATATATTCAGTATTGTACCTTTTATTCGTATGCTTCTAACAGTAAACATGTATGAATTATTTTCAGATAAAGATATAGACAAGAAAGTTTTGGATTCTAGAATTTCAAGATTGAACTAGTTCGTTTGAAGACATCTGGTCAGTTATCCACTTGGTCAGTCATCCACCTGGTCAGTCATCCACTTGGTCATTCATCCATCAACACCCAGCAACAACTAAACGACCATCGAGCCCCACAAAAAACCTGGATTAAAAATTTTGACCAAACGAGTCATTGAGTCTGGCGGCGTCAAATTTTTTTCTTCTGAGTGCTGACACATCAGCAGCTGAAGATAGTGACAGCTTCCGGTGCTTAGGTCTCAGTGCGGCATACGGCAACCAGCATACAACATCCAGCACACGGCATCCAGCATCCAGCATACAGAATCAGCACACGGCATCCAGCGTACGGCATTCAACACACGGCATCAAGCGTACGGCATCCAACACACGGCATCCAGCATACAGCATCCAGCGTACAGCACACGGCATCCAGCATACAGCATCCAGCATACAGTGTCCAGCATACAGTGTCCAGCATACAGTGTCCAGCATACAGTGTCCAGCATACAGTGTCCAGCAAACAACATCCACGTCCAACATAAATATCCAACAAGCACATCTGTGACAATGGTGGCTGTAGGAGCAGACGGTATGACCAGAATCACCATGTCATTTCTCCTCTCTCTGTTGGGAGACGGCAACTATCCAGGTAAGTAAGGGACATAACTCTCGCATGTACGACAAGGGACGCTACTCAATGTTTATGTTGCTCGTAATCTACTTTCACTTTCTGACAGTAGCCGATCCCTCGCCCCCTCTGATCCTAACACCACGTAAACGATTATTCAAATGTTAAGCCTGAAGCTCAACACATTGAAGTGAATTATGTCCTCAGCTGCCTGGAACATCGAGAAAAAAAAATGCTTACTTGAAATCGGCCCTTAAAACAGTTAAAACAGGGGGGGGGGGGGAAGGGGCGGGCGTTTAAGGGGGAGGGGGGAGCTTGTGTTGGTACAAATTTTATTTGGGCGTTAAGTCAGAAATCTGTAGGTAACTTTTGTTAGAATCGCGGAATACCTGTGTAACATTTGTTTTAAGAAGTTTCTGCTGTTTAAATGACCGTAACTGCACTAGAACATTAGGCTGCTGATGCTTTCGCTTTCGAGTTGTTACAGGTTTAGTCAAAAAACCTAAAGCTATCGTTCTTTATATATATATATATATATATATATATATATATATATATATATATATATATATATATATATATATATATATATATATAATCCTGTCTTCGCTGCAGGTACAGATAAACTTTCCCTCCTGATTATTCGTTTCCGTCTTTAAAAACTGTTTCTGTTAAATCATGTTTTAAATTAAAACTATTATTTCCCGGTTTTCGGGGATTCCCCTTTTGTACTCATTAAGACGCCAGTGTGAACGTCCTTGCTTTGAAGCGCTACCAGCCGCCTAAAGTTCTGTTGGTCCTAGCAAATCCCGCCCCTAACCTAAATCTAAACAAGTTTATTTTTGTTTTGTTGGCTGTGTCCTGTTGATGATAGAGTTAATTTGGGGTGTTAATCTGTCTTAATCCACTTCCCTATGGCGATAATCCACAAAGTCGGAAACGTTTTTATGAAAGTGTGTTTGAATGTAGGACGCTGGGAGTGACGTCACAAGTGTTGGTGTGAATGTGTCTAAGATTTATGCAGCGGCCTTGATTACGTTTCCTTGTCATCACATGTGTACACAAAGCGACGTGTTTCTATTTTTAGACCAAGTTCCACCTGTCACTTGCAGTCGGTGTGACAAATTCTTGTTTGTAAGTGGCTAATTAAGTGGCTAATTAAGGAGCCATAAATATTTATTTAGCACACTACCGTAACCTGTACCCACCCTCCCCGGCATAAGCGACACCCGCATCTCTCCCCACCCTCCCCGGCATACGTGACAACACCCATACGCCCCCACCCCTATCATATAGCCCTACACCCAACACATCCCCCACCACCTCAGTGATTCATCCTGCAAGATTTCACTTCCGTTTTCCCGAAGTGAAGTCCCATGAGGGTTGGCTCGTGTTTCAAGCATTCTTTCTGTCAGTACTTGGCCTTGGGTTGTCAGTGGTTGGCCTTGGGTTGTCAATAGTTGATCTTGGGTTGTCCCTAGTTTCTATTTCGTAGAGAAATTTTCCGGCAATAAGAAAATAATACTCCACGAGTTTTAGACAAAAAATTCCGTAAGACAATGTGCTCCGCCCCCCTCCCCCCCCCCCCCCCCCCACCCCCAGTTGTATACCGAATACACCAATCCACAATAAAGACAGCTAATGACAGCTAGGCCTGTCTAAACATTGGCTATGAGGCTAAACTTTGGCTATGTGGCTAAACATTTAGTTTTAACTGTAGACTAAACAAAGTGGTTGCGATTTTGAAAGGACAAACGAAATGTCTCCACATGTAAAAAAATGTCTTTGATTAATGAGGACAAGGTCATTAAATCATCATGTGGACGGCCAACAGAAATGTACTTTAACAGGTATTAGACGGTCCGAGGTGTTCTCAAACTGTTGGGGCTGGGGCTGGAGGGGTGAGATGGTACGTCATCCATCATAATCACGTTAGTCAGATGCTTCCTTAGTGTGTGTGTCTGTGTGTCTGTGTGTATTTGTGTGTGTTTGTGTTTCTGTGTGTGTGTATTTGTGTGTGTGTGTGTGTTTGTGTGTCTGTGTCTGTGTGTGTGTTAGAGCGTATTAGTGAGTCGACTATTTTGAACGGAGGGGAGGATGAGGTGTGGGGCTCTGGGTAGGGGTGGGTTGTGGTAAAACGAGAGGGGGGGGGGGGTAGCACGATGTATGTAAATCAGAGGGTCGTTGACCTTTTATTATAATTTTGGCAAGATGTAAACCCTGACAGACGTCGGCGTATTTTCCCGCGCAAACTTTTGCTGGCCTGTGGCTGGGGGTCGGAGACACGTGATCAACACAAATTGTTCCAGACGTTTCTAGGGCTAGAAGCAGACGTTAACTGGCCCAACGTGTCGACCCTAGATCTATCTGTAGGACGTGCATGACGTTACTTGAATCTATGACGTGTCGTCTGTAGACTGACATGACAAGACGTCAATAAAAAGATGGACCACTTCCTGTGGACCATCTCCTGTGGACCACTTCCTGTGGACCAGCCATCAAGACCAGTTTGTCTGCGTGTATTGTCTTTGTGTAATGAAATCTTCTTCTTCTTCTTCATTATTAATTATTAGTGTTGGAAGGGGATCGAGATTTATCGACCAGTGGGTTTGAACTCGAGACTTTGTTCGAATTTATCAACCATGAGCTTTTTGCCGACTCGACCACACAATTAAGCGTTACGTGTCAACTGGTTATGCGCCATTGAGGCCACTGACTCCGATTTCAGCCTGGTTTTCTTTTTGGATTTGCTTCCATAGCCTTTGTCCAACCAAGAACAAACTACAAGGCAGCAGTTGTTTAATTTTTGAGTTGTCTCTCCTAGAAGAGTGTCTGTCCCCAGCTAACGAGCCTCATCTGCCCGAGGGTTCGAACTCGAGACTTTTCGGTTTAGCAACAATGAACTTTACCGACTCGACCACGCCGACCCCTGTAATAAAATGATTTTTAAAAAACTCGTGCAATTACTTGAAACTGTCTACATGTATTGTCTTTGTCATTAGGCTTGCAAACCTGGTTCTAAATGGTGGCTGCCAGAAGCCTTTTATTTAAATTGAAACTTTTACATTTGTGTAATTAGTACAAAATGACTTCCGGTTTTATTAAAGCTAGAAATACTCCAACAAATAATTACTTATTATCCAAAAGTAATTTAGCAAACACTATTTTTAATTTGGATTAGTAGAGTCAGGGTGTCGTGGTCAGTGTTTCTTTCGGACTTTTTTTTTCTCCGGGGAGGGGGGGGGGCGGACACTCGTAAAAGTATATATTTTCTATACAAATTCCATTTCGTTGGGGGGGGGGGGGTGTTCAGCCCACTCGAAGAGTTGCCTGGAAGAAGCTCTGATTGTGGATGTTATATTATCTGATATAAATAAACTACTAGACTGTACCCCATTGGCCACTATTGTATATTTTTATAATAGAAAACAATTGTTGTGACTTAAATTGTTTTACTCTCCCTGACCATTCCGGTTCACTTCAGGGTCGGTCTTTAAACTATTTGAATTGATTAAATAATTCTATACGGCTTATATTCAATACAAAATATGTAAATGAATGTAATCGATGGTTCGCTAACAGCTTTAAGTTTTTAAAATATAAGTATAATTTTATTGCTTGCCATACTTTTTAAAAGATTTATAAAAAAAATTAGTGTGGTTACATAGATTTTTTCAAGCCTATTGAATCGTGAAAAAATTGAAAAGTTTGTCACAAAAATTCAACGTTTTGTCTGATGTCATAAATTATGTCAGCGATTTTTGTGTCCGGACTGTTCAAAGCGCTGACTCATCCGTCAGGCAGACGTCAAGACGTCACATTGATGTTCGTGTCGTCACATCTTTGTGTACATGTGTACATGTCAGCAGATGTCAAATATGGCATGCCAGTGACGTCATACTTCCGGTAACATACACATTTCTCTAGCGTGTGTCATCTACAGGAATGGTATTCTTTCTAAATCCTTCAAAATCCATAAAAATCTTTTTTTTGAAAAAACAACGACAAAATGTAATCAACAGACACCTGTTACATTGTTTGCAGTAAAAAAAAAGATATTCATTAAATTCACGATTTTCTGAAACTGTGAACTGTGCAAGTCATGTCTACCGTGGCGCTAGAATAGGCTTGAATGGTCTAAGTGATCATACTGAAGTTTAAGATAAATCTTTTTTAAAATATAGCAAGCAATAATATTATAGTTACATTTAAAAAAACTTAAAGCTGTTAGGGAATCATCGATTATACCCATTTCATATTTTAGTATAGAATATAAGCCGTTGAAAAGCCGTTAAGTATTATTTTTTAAATTTAAATTTTTTTTTTTAACCGCCCTCAACCTCACCTTGAAGTCAACCGTAATGGCCAGTGAGAGTAAAACAATAAAAGTCAGAACAGTTGTTCTTTAAGATAAAAATAAACAATAGTGGTCAATGGTGTATAGCGTAGTATTGTATTTATATTAAATTATAGAACATACCCTATCATCACAAATTAAAATAAAAGTGTTTGATAAATTACTTTTATATTACCAGTAATTATTTGTTTGAATTTTTCTAGGCTTAATAAAACCGGAAGTCATTTTGTACTTATTTCTTAATGTTTACAATTTCCAAATTTGGTTGAAAAAGATGCTTTCTGTGAACAAAAATTTGGAACCATTTAGAACCAGCTTTTCATGCCAAATATAGGCTGTAATACGACATAAATTGACTGAAAATAAAACAGCACATGTCTCTAAAGTTGACGTAAACAACTAGACACCACGACAGCAGAACTAACACATGTCGAATTTAAATAATCTTAGCGGGATGGGGGGATGGGGCATTCTGTGGTTTTTTCTAAAAGTGTCAATCAATTGGCTCATGTCGAAAAGTGAAATGTTGGTACGCGACTAGATCCAAATGTCGTTGTGAAATGTTGGTACGCGACTAGACCCAAATGTCGTTGTGAAATGTTGGTACGCGACTAGACCCAAATGTCGTTGTGAAATGTTGGTACGCGACTAGACCCAAATGTCGTTGTGAAATGTTGGTACGCGACTAGACCCAAATGTCGTTGTGAAATGTTGGTACGCGACTAGACCCAAATGTCGTTGTGAAATGTTGGTACGCGACTAGACCCAAATGTCGTTTTTCCTCAACCAGTTCCTCAAACACATGCAACCAGCCTTAGGGAGAGATTGTCATCGATTGAGGCCAAGTTTAACGTTTTGTCAATCTCATGACATAATAGTGACATTCATATGTCAGCAACTCGTGTAATAGTGACTTCATATGTCATGTGGCTGATCATGTCGAGTGACTAACCTTCAAAGTTTCACCAAGGCGAAATGTAACTGACAAGACTGTAGGCCTTTAATCGTCGCTCAATCGGGACAGGAAGTTTTTTTTTATTTGGAGCGGTGGTCAAAGTTTAGTGGGGCAGTCAGGTAGTGATGTGGGGGGGGGGGGGGGGGGGAGAGGGGGGACATTTGTAGGTATGTGGGGTGGGGGGAGATTTATATGTATGCGGGGGTGGTGGAAACATTTTGTAGGTATTCGAGGGTGACTCACCCATCTTGTTCGTTGCTTGATTTATACCCTAAGGTCCCTGCTTGATTGAACGAATTGTGCATCTATGTGTCTCATCATGGCGTCTCGTCATTGTGTCTATGTGTCTCATCATTGTGTCTCATCATGATGTCACTGTCGTCCCAACATCGACCCCATCCGGCCACCACTTCCTGTCGGCAGGGATTAGGTCATGAGGCAGGAAATGACGTCACTATACGGTCACACAGAACTCAAATTTCGACAAAGTGCGGTTGTTTAGCTTGATGCACATTTCGTTCGATTAGTTTGAAATAATTAGGTCAATTAACCAAACCTCATATGTATTTTAGCTTGACCTGCCGTCCAGTTCTATTTTTGTCCTATCCCGTCCTGTCCTGTCTTGTCCTGTCTTGTCCTATTCTATCCGGTCCTATTCTTCGTGGTCAAGTCGTGACCGAACTCTTCCCCGATTCTCTCCCTTGTATTTGTGACCCCCACCCCCGGGTCTACTGAATCTATCTGACCCCCCCCCCCCCACTCCCTGTGTCTACTGAATGTAACTGACCCCCACCCCTGCCGGGTCTGTTGAATGTAGCTGACCCCCCTCCCCCCGGGGCCTACTGAATGTAATTGACCCCCCACCCCCGGGCCTACTGAATGTAACTGACCACGACTGATCAAACTTGAACTATCTCCCCAGGACCTGAAGCGCCTGTATCCAGCAAACACCACTGGTCCTACAAAGGTCCTGAAGGTAAGCTCAGGTCATTACAATAGGTCAAAGCGTTAAATGTCATATGTCACTGAACCCAAATGACATGTCGGATGTCATCTCCAGGTCCTGACTCGTGGCATGTCCACTACAAGCACTGTGGCGGGGAGCGCCAGTCCCCCATCGACATCCGACCCATGGAGTGTGAGTACGACCCCACCCTCGGGCCGTTCGTGCTTGACCACTTCGACATGACGAGCGCGCGTGCGGGGCCGTGCGTGCTCAACGTCACCAATAACGGGCATGCTGGTGAGTACATACACATACATACTCATGTACCCACACACTCACATACTCCCATACTCGCTCACATATCCACTCACACACACACACACACACATACCCGCCTACACACACTCTTTTAGCCAAACCTTCTAACGCACGCCGTCTCAAAGAAAATAACACTCTCGTTTTAATTCGTCAAAAAATGTTTTTATTTCTAATTTAGATTTTTAAAGCCCATCCGACAAACGGACGTCAAACTAAAAAGAATACATAATTAATGAATTAATTAATGTAAATGTCGCGGCCCATGCATAAATTAACTTGGCTTAGAGCGAGAGAGTTGAACTTTTGGTTGCAGACGTCATCGCTGGTCGTCTGCTCCGTGAGTTAGGATTTGGGTTAACGTGCAGCTTTCTTTTTCACGACACACAGACACACGCACAGACACACAGACACACTCACGCAACACACACACGCATACCACAGATAACCATAAATCAAACCACTGACGTCACAATCTAAACAAAAACACGACTATTTTTAGACTTTTTCACGGAACTGTCCACCCATGACGTCATAGCAATCACGAAATTTCCAAAGTTAAGCTGTAAAATGTCGCTAAAATGCGCGTTTGTTTCGTTTCGGTATTTTTGTATGTTCGGAGTTTTGGATCCGTGTTTACCTTCCAAAAACTGAGGCGGGACAAATTTAGCCGTCTCGTCTACAAGAATAGCAACATCTTACATGGTAACAATCTGGCTAATGTTACAAAGATAGAGAAATCTGGACACAAATTAACATTTTTACAGTTACTAGAAGATGAGGTTCGATAGCTGGGGACAGCAACTCTTTATTTATGAGAGACAACTCCAAAATCAAACAACTGCTGCCTTGTAGTCTGTTCTTGGTTACACAAAGGCTATGGAAGAAAATCCTAAAATAAAGCAGTCTGGAATCGAACCCTATATGACAAGTTGACACGTAATAAAACATCAGACAAAAACCGAGAATCGAATCACTCATTAAAGTATACATTAAATTTATTTAAAAAAAAACACGTGATTCCCATATAAATGGTATTCTACTCTTTCTGTCAACTGTAAAGAAAACTTAATTATTTTATGTTAATCACATCCAAACTTTCAATGAACGGATGTGCTAATTGTTTATTGGTCCGCCATCCAACTATTGTGGGACTTTAATACTTTTAATTACTTTTATACACAGAAAAAGGAAAATAAAAGTAGACTGCGGTTGTTTCCCTTTATGAAATAATTTCCGAATCTATAAATAGTTTGTTTTGATGATTTGATCACATATCACTAACTTAAACCTAACCTTCTAGTACACTCTGAGCCTGCTTTAAAGTTCTAGTTAGATCAAAGATTTCATCAAGGGACCTAAAATATCTCACCGTTAACGTGTTGGTGACGTTTTCGGCAAGTTTTTTTTATTTTAGTTTACCAAACGACAAGCAAGCTGCGATGTTGCTAGAAGCTGGAAGAAATAAACTCATTAAAATCTGCTGACCTTTGACATGTAAACAAATTAAAAGAAAATAAACGCATTAAAATCTGCTGACCTTTGACATGTAAACAAAGCCTTAAAACAAAAAACGTTCGTGTTGATGTCACGATCTGGTCTAAAACTGTCTGACAACAACAGCAACAACCGTCAAACTACAACAACAACAGCAACAAACAGAGGTAAAGAACACCCAACCTTGACCTTGGGGTGTACAGGGTCTAGTAGCAAACAGATTTATAACGTTTTGACATTTAGTTCAGCCGGTATTTATAGCCGTCCAACCAACTTTTTTAAAATGTTCATTTCCGGTTTTGTCCGGCAATTTGTCACCAGCATCAAACTAACGTTACGACTTTCGTTTTCCTTGAGACGGTGTAGTAAGCGGTGTTGGAATGTTTTCTATTTGTGGCATCGGTGTCAGGCGCGGGCCGGGCTCATTTTGTTGCTAGTCTGGAACTTTCGATAACACCCCCCCCCCCTCTGGCCAAAGATTCTGATATTTACTTAACAAGTCCACCTTCTCAAAACTTACTGACAGTTTTCAACAGTTTCAATGACCATTAATTCTTTATATATATATATATATATATATATATATATATATATATATATATATATATATATATATATATATATATATATATATATATATATATATATATATATATATATATATATATATATATATATATATATATATACATATATATATATATATATATATATATATATATATATATATATATATATATATATATATATATTTGACTGAGAATGACACGATAATGAACCCAAACAGTTGGAAATACAAAAGAGAGAGAGGTGATCAGTAGGAAGTACTAGAGCTAATCAATCAAGTACTCGGGCTAATGAATCAACCTACATTTAAGACCACGAGTCAGCCAACTATTTACTGTCGGAAGTCGGAAGTCGGAAACTGTAAACACGAGATGACGTGACACATGAAAGCCTGACACCTTGTCGCAAACGGCGGGAATCTGTTCTCTGTCAGTCGCGTACATTGAACGGATATTTCCGGAAATCTATTTTAAGTTTAATTGACCTTGTCTGAATTGTTTTAACGTAGTGCCCCCCCCCCCCCTTGATTTTCCAGCGAGCGTTAGAATCAGCAATGACGACATGCGGGTCCGGGGCGGCGGCCTAGCCGGAACCTACAAGACGGCAGAGTTCCACTTCCACTGGGGCAGCACAGATGACCATGGCAGTGAGCACGCGGTGGATGCCAGGAAGTTTCCACTAGAGGTAGGGCATGATGGGTAGGGCAGGTAGGGGCATGATACGATATGGCCTTCTCTAGAAGTGATGTAGACGGAACTCCTAATCTTCGATTTATGTCCAACAACCCACCTTGTTGGACATAATCGAAGATTAGAGACCTATGTTGTTGGAGGGGTATCTTCGATTTCCGCTCAATTTGTAACTATGACCCCCCTCCCCTTTCTCTTTCCCCCTGTGTAGAAATAAACATATATCGTTTACATTTTTGTAAGGCATCACACCCTCCCATTACGCTGTAAATATGAACATGTCAGAACACATTGTAACTGATTCTTGTCGTCACCCCTCCCCCTCTGGTCCCTCCCCTCCCCAGATGCACGTGGTCAACTTCGCGGAGAAGTACGGCACCATCCAACAGGCGATGAACAAACCAGACGGTCTGGCCGTCTTGGGCGTCTTCTTCCAGGTCAGTGGCCAGATTTTTTCTCTCTGCGGACAGAGCTTGTGTCATCCACAATCTGTAACGTCGTTTAATTGTTTCGTTTATTTCAGCTGAGTGAACAAGACAATCCAAATTTTGCTGCCCTCGACTCGGCATTGAGACACGTCCACAAGGCAGGTCAGTGACGGGCATAATGCCAGATGTTGTTTACAAATGGATATCAGATGATATGGATATGTGCAAACCGTTAATTTTAAAATAAAAATCTATTCTTTTAACAATGTGACATTTTTTTCTATTATTTAAAATTACTGATAACCTACTATCTAACATTATAGGATTTAAATTTCAAATATTCAGGAGAAAAAAAATTATTTTAATTTATCAAAAGAAATCTAACTGACATGTCCCATATTACTTACTGCTCTTGACGGATTATATCCCATATTACTTACTGCCCTTGACGGATTATATCCCATATTACTTACTGCCCTTGACGGCTTATGTTACATATTACTTACTGCCCTTGACGGCTTATGTTACATATTACTTACTGCCCCTGACGGATTATATCCCATATTACTTACTGCCCTTGACGGATTATGTCCCTTGGTTGACAGGGGAGTATGCACTGTTGGAACAGTTCACACTCCGGTCTCTCCTGCCTGATGACGTCAGCAAGTACTGGAGGTACAGCGGCTCCCTCACGACGCCATATTGTTTCGAGTCGGTCACGTGGACAGTTTTCACAGAGCCACAAAAAATCGCGAGAGCCCAGGTGAGATGTCGTCATCAGTTGTAGTAGTGTCACATTGTGACTTGTGACTGTAGTAGTGTCACAATGTGACATGTGACTGCAGTAGTGTCACAATGTGACATGTGACTGTAGTAGTGTCACAATGTGACTGTGACATGTGACTGTAGTAGTGTCACAATGTGACATGTGACTGTAGTAGTGTCACATTGTGACATGTGACTGTAGTAGTGTCACACTGTGACATGTGACTGTGTCACATTGTGACATGTGACTGTAGTAGTGTCACAGTGTGACATGTGACAGTAGTAGTGTCACAGTGTGACATGTGACTGTAGTAGTGTCACAGTGTGACATGTGACTGTACTAGTGTCACAATGTGACATGTGACTGTAGTAGGGTCACATGTGACTGTAGTAGTGTCACAATGTGACTGTAGTAGTGTCACAATGTGACATGTGACTGTAGTAGTGTCACACTGTGACTGTAGTAGTGTCACAATGTGACATGTGACTGTAGTAATGTCACATTGAGACATGTGATTGTAGTAGTGTCACAATGTGACATGTGACTGTAGTAGTGTCACATTGTGACATGTGACTGTAGTAGTGTCACAGTGTGACATGTGACTGTAGACCTGCCTTATGTGATGGAGAACTTGTGTGTTTCAGATCGAGACCCTGAGGTCACTTCTGCACGAGGAAGGTCACGAGATGAACGACAGGGGCGATAACCACCACGCCCCCTCCCGTCTGCTGGACAACTGGAGACCTGTCCAGCCCCTGGGGACCCGGGTGGTCAGGCGGAGCTTCCCCGACCCCACAGCTGGCGGGGCCTACGTCGTCCAGCCGGCCGTCCCAGCCACGGCTAGCCCAGCACCAGCTACAACAGCACAGTCCACAGCTAGCCCAACAGCAGCACCAAACGCCAACGACAACAGCATCAAGCACGCCAACGACAACAGCATCAACCACGCCAACGACAACAGCATCAACCACGCCCCGCCCCGCCCCACACAGTACCAGAACCCCGACATGATTGACAGCCAGCTAGCCAATCAGCTGTACTCCCCTGGGTCCCCCACCACAAACTTCGACGGCTCAAACACACTTTCGAACCCCGCCAAACCCGAACCCAACCACGACCCCCACAACGGGAAGCTGCTCATGTCGGCCACTGCGCATGACAAACCGGGAAGTTCCGTGCGCTCAGCGTCCACCACACAACCGGAAGTTGCCACCACGCGTCTGACCACATCCGACGGGTCACCCAACAGCAACAGCAGCGGCGGGTTTCTGGAGAACATCCTGCGTGACCTTGAGGGCCCACCCGGGGCCATCAACAACATCCACCAGCTGTTCGACAACAAGCGCGAGCCACACGCCATCAACTCCATCGAGTTTCTCACCTCGGGGGCCAGCGAGGTCTGGGGATCGAATCCCGCCCAGCAGAGCGTACACGATGGGAAGTCTGGCGCTGGTGATACCAGAGAACACGCGGTATCCATGGCAACCAGCACGGTCAACCCTGCAGGCGGTCAACCAGGCGTGGCGCCACAGTCCAACCTTACAGCCAACGTAGGTCAGTCCAACCCTACAGCCAACGTAGGTCAGTCCAACCTTACAGCCAACGTAGGTCAGTCCAACCTTACAGCCAACGTAGGCCAGGCTCGTACAGAACAGGTAGTCATGGTGACGTCATTACCAACTGGGTCTCCTGCCACTTCAGTGCCACACGTGTCTCTAGCGACCCTCGGGCCACAGGCTCCAGCACCCCCCGGGTCACACAGACTCACAGCGCCACCAACAGGCTCTGTGCCACCAGCGCCACCACGTGACCCCCCTCGTACCACGGCAGAGAGCCTCAGTCACCACCAGCTGTTGCTCCGGCTTCAGGAGCTGGAGCGGCAGAAACAGGAGCTGTTACAGCTTCACCAGAAGCAGCTGTCAGATTTGAACACACACCAACTGACCAACCAACAACTGCAACATCTGCAATATAACCCAGCCCAGTCGCCACTGTATCAGCCTCAAACAGAATACCCATACCAACAACAGCAGCTACAACAACAACAGCAACAATACAACAGGGAAAGACAACTTCAGCAGTTCGACTACAAAGGGCCGCAACCTTTATTTAACCAACTGATGGACCGAACAGACGAACATTACCAGGCCAATACCAAACTCAGGTATAATGCAAGAGTTCCGCAGTACGCTCCCAACACAAGGGCCAATAACCCATCTCTCGACCTTAACTACCGCTCCCCCCGTACTGACATCCCCCCACCCCCAGTCCAGCGCACCCACAACCAGCACCTAACGTCAGACCAGATTCGGTCAATCCTAGAGAAACTTGCCCTCACTAGCCGCATCAATGCTGGGATGGCGTACCCGCAGACCCGCGCGGCGTATGGCGGACAGCTGCCCCACCCCAACGGCTTCAGGGACGGGGATTTCCTGGTGTTGCACAGGGCCACAGGCAACACCTACCTCGTCAAGGCCGGCTCACAGGATCCTGCAGGGTTAAGGTCGCAGGATCCTGCAGGGTTAAGGTCACAGGATCCTGCAAGCCTGAGGCACCTCGGGGAGCCGCCTGTTGTTGTCCAGGGTCCCCTGGCCAGGCAGTTCCAGATTTCTCCGGCAGCCGCCATCAGCATGAAGCAGGCAGGAAACGGGCTAAGGGACGATCCACAGGGCGTGTTCCTCAACATGGTGGACAGACCCGTGAGGATCAGCAGCCCTTTCTTTGACCAGCTCCAGAACTGGCGCCAACAGAGACTGCTGCAGCAGTTGGAGCCGTCTGGTGTGCCGGCTCAAGGACCGGCTCAAGGGCCGGCAGTCCGGCAACAGCTCAGGACTTACCCGACACAGACCAACAGACTAGGCTAGCCCAACTGCACAAACTAAAGCTTGAGTTGATTCACGAAAATATACAACCCTTGACCTCTCGCATCGCGATGTGTTGTCATGATGTGTTGTGACGTCTGTCGTGATGTCTTGTGACGTCTGTCATGATGTGTTGTGTGACGTCCATCATAATGTCTCGTGACCTCCAGGTGCCCCCCCCCCCCCCCCCAGTTAGACCAGGCACCAATGTGTGATGGAGGTGTGTCGAGAAAGACAATCTTTTATTTGATCATCACGTCGTGCTGTAGTTTAAAATAGTTGTAGAGTTCTGCAGACACAATTGTACATACGACATCAATGGCAGAATCTAAAAGTAAAATCTGCCGATTGGAAATTGTTAACAAAACATTTATCAACACTAACTAGACCCCTCGAGCTGGGAAACAACTCACCCCCCCTCCCCCGTGGGATACTCACCAGCCACCAAGCTGTAATCATGTCTGACCTTAAAACCTCACCTGTCTAATCAACCTAATTATTGTAATTAATACCTTTGATCAAGAGATGCGCGTGGTCTAACCATATCATAGCATGTTGTCACATTTTCGTATGTCTGTTTAATGACATCTACTACCCCCCCCCTCCCCCCACCTAACATGACTCTGCCGTCCAATCTATCGTATATGAGTGTAGACTCTGATCAATGGGTCAAGGTCAGGCTAAGTCATATATTCTAAGTCGTATATTGCTCCAAATGCTTCAGGTAATTTGAGCCCAAGAACTGAGGCAGGTGTATGAACCTTCTTGTTGGATTGGTCGCTGTTTTAAAGATTTACTTGAGAGGAGAATATTTGCCCTAGTAGGACTTACAATTTTAACCATGTGTTATTTATTTGAAAATATATGTGTAAAGATAATACATTTAACATACAGGCTGTTCATTAAAGATTGTCAATAAATGTGTATCAAATGTAGGATTACTTTTTATGAGTTAGTGTAAGGAGAGAAAGTGTATTTTATTGAGTAAACTGAAAACGATTGGAAAAAATAAACCCATTGGGTGTGAGAGTTGTTGGGGCGTGTAGAATACAAGGTGGATGATTGGTTGAACTTTGAACTCGAGTTGTCGCACGCATTATGGGGCCCTGGCCAATACAGTTGTCAAACACCATTTGGGACACCAGTCACCATACACAGTTAACAATGTGGGACACCAGTTACCACAGTTAACAATGTGGGACACCAGTCACCACAGTTAACAATGTGGGACACCAGTCACCACAGTTAACAATGTGGGACACCAGTCACCATGCGCAGTTAACAATGTGAGACACCAGTCACCACAGTTAACAATGTGGGACACCAGTCACCATGCGCAGTTAACAATGTGAGACACCAGTCACCACAGTTAACAATATGAGACACCAGTCACCACAGTTAACAATGTGGGACACCAGTCACCATGCGCAGTTAACAATGTGAGACACCAGTCACCACAGTTAACAATGTGGGACACCAGTCACCATGCGCAGTTAACAATGTGAGACACCAGTCACCACAGTTAACAATATGAGACACCAGTCACCACAGTTAACAATGTGGGACACCAGTCACCATACACAGTTAACAATGTGAGACACCAGTCACCACAGTTAACAATGTGAGACACCAGTCACCACAGTTAACAATGTGGGACACCAGTCACCATACACAGTTAACAATGTGGGACACCAGTCACCACAGTTAACAATGTGAGACACCAGTCACCACAGTTAACAATGTGAGACACCAGTCACCATACACAGTTAACAATGTGGGACACCAGTCACCATACACAGTTAACAATGTGAGACACCAGTCACCACAGTTAATGTGAGACACCAGTCACCACAGTTAACAATGTGGGACACCAGTCACCATACACAGTTAACAATGTGGGACACCAGTCACCACAGTTAACAATGTGAGACACCAGTCACCACAGTTAACAATGTGAGACACCAGTCACCACAGTTAACAATGTGAGACACCAGTCACCATACACAGTTAACAATGTGGGACACCAGTCACCACAGTTAACAATGTGAGACACCAGTCACCACAGTTAACAATGTGAGACACCAGTCACCATACACAGTTAACAATGTGAGACACCAGTCACCATACACAGTTAACAATGTGGGACACCAGTCACCACAGTTAACAATGTGGGACACCAGTTACCACAGTTAACAATGTGAGACACCAGTCACCATACACAGTTAACAATGTGGGACACCAGTCACCATACACAGTTAACAATGTGAGACACCAGTCACCACAGTTAACAATGTAAGACACCAGTCACCATACACAGTTAACAATGTGAGACACCAGTCACCATACACAGTTAACAATGTGAGACACCAGTCACCATACGCAGTTAACAATGTGGGACACCAGTCACCACAGTTAACAATGTAAGAAACCAGTCACCGCAGTTAACAATGTGAGACACCAGTCACCATACACAGTTAACAATGTGAGACACCAGTCACCACAGTTAACAATGTGAGACACCAGTCACCACAGTTAACAATGTGAGACACCAGTCACCACAGTTAACAATGTGGGACACCAGTCACCATACACAGTTAACAATGTGAGACACCAGTCACCACAGTTAACAATGTAAGACACCAGTCACCACAGTTAACAATGTGGGACACCAGTCACCATACACAGTTAACAATGTGGGACACCAGTCACCACAGTTAACAATGTGAGACACCAGTCACCATACACAGTTAACAATGTGAGACACCAGTCACCACAGTTAACAATGTGGGACACCAGTCACCACAGTTAACAATGTGTGACACCAGTCACACAGTTAACAATGTGGGACAGGCAGTCACCATACACAGTTAACAATGTGGGGCACCAGTCACCACAGTTAACAATGTGGGACATCACATGGGTTTGGGTTTGTTTTCGTTTGCTTTTTTGTTTGCGTTTGTGTTTTCTTTGTATTTGTTATGTTTGCGTTGTTGTTGTTTTTTTGTGTTTTTGTTTTGTTTCGTTGTGTTTGGGTTTGTGTTTGCGTTTGGGTTTGTGTTTGATTTCGTTTGCTTTTTTTTTTTGTTTGCGTTAGTGTTTGTGTTTTCTTTGTGTTTGTAGTTGGGTTTGTCTTTGCGTTTGCTTTTGTGTTTTCGTTTTCGTTTGCATTTGTTTTAGTGTTATGTTTGCGCTTTTTTGTGTTTTGGTTGGTTGTAGTTAGGGTGGGCAATGCCGGGTAAATGCTGATTACTAAACACACAAGTCATGGTCCTTTACAGATTGTTTTTCAGAGATGCCAGTGCAGGGCCTGGCCAGGACGACTAGTAAACTTGTAAAATACATTGACGAAAAAGAATCTAGTAAACTTTATAAATAGTCAAAAACAAACTGGTGGGTCATATATAAATGACGTCACACTTTTTATGCCGATCATCACACATGAGCTTTTTACTTATTTTTCTACCCCCGTTTGCGCCCTGTTACAGTCGGTGCCGGGGGAGCCGCCCCATACTACCTCCCCTAGTTACGCCTGTTTTTTTAACATTATTTTTTAAATTAAATATAAAGTATGTCGTTACACCCCGGTCGGAGTGTAATGGAGTGTAATTTTTGTGGGTTTTTTCGTATTCTTATTTTTAAATATATCATTTGCCTCGTAATGCAGATCTAGATGTTAAAATAATTCATTTTTTTAACGTAAAAACGATGGCTGAAATATTATAATTTTATTAAATTTGTTTTGTACTTATGGTGGATACTTTTCTAAAATTTGGAACTCATCTAAATTGAAGATAATTTTACTTTTGTTTCCGGGTTACGTTTTTGTTGTTAAATCTCAGCTTACATTTTATAATTTTAATTCAAGTCTAGATTACCTCCCAAACAAATATGGCTCACTGTTAATAATTGTTATTAACAGTAGATCTAGTAAAAGATAATTAGAATATTTTTAGGAGGCTCTTGTGGATGCCTAGAAACAAAATGTCGTCATCTAGAATAGTTCTTAGTCCAGTGGCTTCTGATCGTGTTATCACCAAGTTTTCACCGGTTAGTTGAAAATAACAAAATAAATATCTTAGATTAGATCTTAGGCCTAATTATAATTAATATAATTAAACTTAATGATTTAATTCATCGATAAAACTGTTACTTTTATTTAATACTTAGACTACTATTAGGCCCTTACTTAGATCTAGACTCTAGTCTAGAATAGTCTAGAGAGTAGAGTCTAGATCAGGGGTCTCCAAACTTTTCAGTCCGAGGGCCGCATTAACTATCAAATTTCAGTTCGGGGGCCAGTTTCTTCCAGGCATGTCTTTGATTTTTCTGGGCAAACTTTTTCAGCAATCACCAACAAACAATTTTCCTTGGACAAAAAGATCTCCGCGGGCCGCATCCGGCACGCGGGCCGTAGTTTGGAGACCCCTGGTCTAGATCTTATAAGCCCTCTGGCTCTAAAGTCTAAAGTTATTGTCAAAAATGTAAAATTAAATTAGGCCTAGGCCTAAATGCACTAAATGGGAAATTATTATAATTATTAATTAGGCTTAAGGTCCAGATTTGCCTTAATCTTAAATTTACAAATTCAGTCAACAGTATTACCTGCTTAATATGTTTTTAAGGCAAGGTAAACTATCGTTTAAGGTACATAAAATTGGCCGTACTAGTAACTAGTAATGATAGTAATAATGTGAAAGAAAGGTGACTCATCAATTAAAAAAAATATGGCTTTATTAATACAAGTAGGCCCTATTGTGATGTAGGCTTTTTGAATCAAATATATTACTTTTAACTAAACTACTACTGATTCTGAAAACTTGAATAAAGAATAAAGCTGACTATTACACTGATTAAAGTAAAGCCAGATAAACTGTTACTCAACTTTGGCAGTTACACTCATTCATCTACTACGTTTTTTTTAAATTGTTAATGTTAGGCCCAATATATTATAGCTATAATTTTATTTTATACAATGTCGATGTCTTAAATTTTAGGCCTATCACCCTGATGGAACACCATATTCTAAAGTCAACTTTCACCCGAAGGTCAAGGCAGCCTGCTCAGAAAACAGGACTGGACGTGTAGGGTTAGTAATTAGTTACATTTTTTTTTAAAACATACAGGCATTGTATTATTGTAGGGTTAGTAATTAGTTACATTTTATAAAGTTTTAAAACATACAGGCATTGTATTATTGTAGTATAAAGCCCCTACATGTTTTAATTTTTTTAAATCCATATATGCCTTTATCACAATATCTCTTTAAACTACAAGAAAACGTAACCAGAATTGTAACAGAGTAATTTTTATATAACTTTTCTCTTTAGTTGGTTGAGATCCTTTATGTAGTGAGATGTTTTGTTGATATAATGAGTGAGATGTATTGTTGATATAATTAGAGAGATGTATTGTTGATATAATTAGTGAGATGTATTGTTGATATAATTAGTGAGATGTATTGTTGATATAATTAATTAGTGAGATGTATAGTTGATATATTTAGTGAGATGTATTGTTGATATAATTAGTGAGATGTATTGTTGATATAATTAGAGAGATGTATTGTTGATATAATTAGAGAGATGTATTGTTGATATAATTAGTAAGACGTATCTTGATATAATTAGTGAGATGTATAGTTGATATAATTAGTGAGATGTATAGTTGATATAATTTGTGAGATGTATTGTTGATATGATTAGTGAGATGTATTGTTGATATAATTAGTGAGATGTATTGTTGATATAATTAGTGAGATGTATAGTTGATATAATTTGTGAGATGTATTGTTGATATAATTAGTGAGATGTATTGTTGATATAATTAGTGAGATGTATTGTTGATATAATTAATGAGATGTATTGTTGATATACTTAGTGAGATTGTTGATATATCTAATGAGGTGTGTGCAAATGTTATTGTCTGTTACAGTCTAAAGATAACCAAAGCTGTTCTGGTGGGTGACGTCTCAGTGGGCAAGACAAGCCTGGTCAACAGGTGCGCTATAACTATACTGGCCTTTCTGTTAGAACTGTTGGTTGGTGTTGTAACATTTTAAACACTGGTCAACAGGTGCCCTGAAACTCTGTTGGTTGGTGTTGTAACATTTTAAGCATGCGTTGTGTGCTGTGGTTTACCTTGTAGGTGGGAAGTAATTAATATTTCAGGAGGTTTTGAACAGTCATGTCTAGTTTACTTATGGATAAAACTTTTGTATTCTCTAGGTTTTGTCATGATGTGTTTGACAGGGAATACAAAGCAACAATAGGTGTGGACTTTGAAGTGGAGAAGTTTAGTGTTCTCTCCGTACCAATAACATTACAGATGTAAGTTCAGTGTTACGTCAGTACCAATAACATTACAGATGTAAGTTCTGTGTTATGCTAGTGCCAGTAACATAACATTACAGACTCAGTATACGTTTAGTGTAATTTGGAATGTAATATTTTATCTCTGATAACCTAATTGCTAGGTAAAATACTGCTTTTTATTTATCATCACAAAATATTTTAATGCACCTCTAACTGAAGTGAAACTGAATGACAATAAACAAAGACTTTTTCTACCCTCTAGATGGGATACAGCAGGACAAGAAAGGTTCAAATGTATTGCAGCGTCCTACTACAGGGGAGCCCAGAGTGAGTACATACTGGGAGGGGGTGGGGGGATGGAAGGTTTTGCCAGCTTTAGGTTCGTGTCAACATAATTTGTTGTCTACGTCATGTCATCTTTGGAGGTCATGTTGTGGTGTGTCCACTATGGCTTGTTTAAACTGACAAGAAACTTGTCCAAGCTGAACCATTCTTCAGGAACAAAGCTCCATATTTTGTTTTATAACTGTTTTTTGTGTGTTCTATTTGACTTTAATTTTGGGAAAAAAACATTAACAATATTTTTCATCTTTTTAGTTTTATAAAACTTACGCCCCCTTAACCATTAATGTCCCGTAACGCCCGCTGCCGCCCGACACCGTTAATGTCCCGTAACGCCCGCTGCCGCCCGCTTACAATACGCATAGAAAAATTAAATTTGTTCATTAAAATTTGGCCTACAAATCCTAATTTTTTACTAAACAGGAAGTCTGATAGTTTCAGCATCCTTTTCCGGTCTTCTAATTTCAATGGCGCTTTTGAAAGATAAAAAAGAATAGTTTCTTTCTATCTCGAAATTTTAGACTCATCTGTCCTATTTTTAGTCGATTTAATATTAAAAATAAAATAAAATAATGCCTCTAAACGTATCTAGGCATGTATTTTATGAATTATATATCTTAAACATAACCAAATTGATATTTAACTGTTAAATTCGATGCATAGTTGTTTAGACAAAAATAAATAAAGTTGACTACAGAAAATGACCTGTTTTGAATTATCTCCGACATTTTTTATTTTTATACTGTACTTGTACCGAATATAATATATTCTATTTAATACTGTTGGAAAGCCAGGTTTATTCCCAACATTAAGCAGTAATTTTTATCTTAATTTTCAATTTCATTTAAACAAAAACAAATATTTTGTGAAACTATTCACTTGATCATACAGAGTTATGCTCCTTACATTGGGCCGTCATGGGTGGAGTTTTGGTAGAATGAATGGGACATTAATGGTTAAGGATGGCTGACTGTATTTTAAAAATGAATTAGCTAATCATTTATTTTCTAGCAGCATTTATTCTTCTTTTATAAAAAATGTTTGCAATTTGTATCTGGCTAATCTGTACGTGTGTCTATTTTGTACTGTTGAACAGTCGTGATTGTAACCTTTGACCTGACGGATGAAGAAAGCTTACATCACACAACCAAGTGGATGGAGGAGGCTACCTCTAGTGCTGACAACCCTGTCAAGTTTCTGGTGGGGACCAAGAAAGATCTGCTGGTGAGTGGGGGAAGGGGGTGGGTGGCAAGTGGGGGGGGGGGGGGGGGGGCAGGGGTGGGTGGCAAGTGGGGGGGGGGCAGGGGTGGACGGCAAGTGATGGGTGGGGGAGGGGTGGATGGCAAGTGGGGGGGGGGGGGGGCAGGGGTGGATGGCAAGTGGGGGGGGGCAGGGGTGGATGGCAAGTGGTGAGTGTGGGAAGGGGGGGGGCAGGGGGGGATGGCAAGTGATGGGTGAGGGCAGGGGTAGATGGCAAGTGATGGGTGGGGGCAGGGGTGGATGGCAAGTGGTGGGTGGGGGCAGGGGTGGATGGCAAGTGATGGGTGGGGGCAGGGGTGGATGGCAAGTGATGGGTGGGGCAGGGGTGGATGGCTAGTGATGGGTGAGGGCAGGGGTGGTTGAGTCATAGTTGCTGTGCCAGTAGAGCTCAATGATGCTCATCTGCTGTGGTCTGTTGACCAATCTCTAGCAACAAAATGACAACTAAAAAAAAACAAAATTCTCATTATTTCATCATCATTTCCCATCGTGCCCAAGACAAATGGGGCAGATGAAGTTCATCTACTTCAGAGACATTGGCATATGAAGAATAGTGTGGTCATCACTATGCCCAGCCGCCCTTGTTTCCCTAACTTAAGTTAAGTACCCATCAGAGCTGGGTGGACTCAGGGACGTTCCACTGATTTGTACCCGAATTTGAACTCAAAACTCTCGGGTTAGTTCTCTAGCTCTCTACTGCTAGGCCACGTCATTCCATTTCTCATTATTTATAAACTAGAAAATAAGCTTATGACACCATGTTCCCCCACCCATTGACACCATGTTGCTCCAACCACTGACAGCACGTTCCCCTTCACTGACTTCTTGTTCCTCCACCGTCTAGGCCCCAGCAGCCTACACAGATGTAGAGCAACGTGCCCTCAAGTATTCCAAGAAAATGGGGGCTGAGTACTGGGCTACCTCCTCTAAAACTGGTACAGATTAGTTTTTTCTTGGTGCATCACACAATTTAGTTTTTTCTTGGTGCATCACACAATTTAGTTTTTTCTTGGTGCATCACACAATTTAGTTTTTTGTTGGTACATCACACAATTTAGTTTTTTTGTTGGTGCATCACACAATTTAGTTTTTTTGTTGGTACATCACACAATTTAGTTTTTTGTTGGTACATCACACAATTTAGTTTTTTGTTGGTACATCACACAATTTAGTTTTTTGTTGGTACATCACACAATTTAGTTTTTTGTTGGTACATCACACAATTTAGTTTTTTTGTTGGTGCATCACACAATTTATTGTATTTTTTAAATGAGATAGTCTTTAAATATTTTAATCTTATTTTGTTTCTTGTATTTAATTGTTCTGTAGTTTTTTGCTGCACTTTTTCTTATTTTAACTTGCTAACATTCCTTCTAGCCCATAGGAAAAAAAAACTTTAAGCTTGACATGTTTGTGTGTGTTTTAGGTGAAAATGTGCAAGATTTTTTCTTCCGTGCCATGTGCCTGTCATTTGATGACACATTACTCAAGGAGCTGGAGGTGTCATCTGTGTCATCCAGACAGATTGGGACTATACGTAAGTTCACATACAACTATGCCAATTCACCTAAATGTTGAACTGTGCATTTATCTACACAAGTACAGGCTTGTATGTATGTTGTTCACATGAAACCACAGAAAACATTTACTCTTCTAACAAGTTTCTCTAAAAAAAAGTAAATTAAAAAATTTGATGTCACTACCAAAATATTACCACCCAATAGATCCCCACCATAAGATAGTTATTTGACCATCCACAATGACCCCCACAGTTATTTGACCATCCACATTGACCCCCACAGTTATTTGACCATCCACAATGACCCCCACAGTTATTTGACCATCCACATTGACCCCCACAGTTATTTGACCATCCACATTGACCCCCACAGTTATTTGACCATCCACAATGACCCCCACAGTTATTTGACCATCCACAATGACCCCCACAGTTATTTGACCATCCACAATGACCCCCACTGTTTATACAAAACACTCCTTACATCTTGTAGAGACTAAAAAAACCACTCTGAGATTATTTCTGTCTTGATGTTGCCAGAGGTGCAGAAGTCTAGCACCGACCTGTTTGAGAAGAAGAAAACAAATTGCTGCGCATGACCTGACCATCCCAGAGTTCCATTGGTGAAATATCTTGTCTGGAAACTTCTCCAACATATCAGTTTATGGTGTGATGTGTACATACAGCAAGTAAAGTCAGATGGTGATGTGTACATACAGCAAGTAAAGTCAGATGGTGATGTGTACATACAGCAAGTGAAGGCATTTTTTTATTTAGCTCGGGATGTTCTGTAACTGATGAACTCTACTTCATCTGCTCCATATGTCTAGAACACAAACGGTAAACGATGAGATGAATGTTGTGTTGTTGGGAGTCAACACTTACTGGGGGTGGGGCACTCATGTTGTTTGTGGTCAGTACACCTTACATCTGACCAATACTTGGTGAACAAATCCTTCAAGGTTGTGATAGGTCACTGATCTACAGTTGTGATAGGTCACTGACCTACAGTTGTGATAGGTCACTGACCTACAGTTGTGATAGATCACTGACCTACACCTGTGATAAATCACTGACCTACAGCTGTAGCTGTGATTAAGAATTTTATTCCAATTAAAAATTTTGTTACAATAGTCAGTAACTTAAATAGCTTTTAAAGTAAATGAAAATATTTTCTTTAAATACATGTTAAAATTATAATGCTGCAATAACCACACTTCCGCATTATCAGATTTAAAAAAAAAATTGAAGTTAAATACTTCATTTATTTCTGAAATACTGGGTCTGTAATTTAGGTTGAGCTCTCATTAGATTATCTCATTAAATTATTTCATTAGGTTGTTTCATCAGATTATCTCATCAGATTATCTCATTAGATTATCTCATCAGATCAGAAGTGGAAGGTTCAGATTTGAGAACTATCAGTGGTTGTGAATATTTTATCCATGAATTTTAATGTTTCTAGAAAATGTTTGTATTATAGCCTAGCCGTCCACATCTGTGTTAAACACCTAAACCATTTTTTAACATTTTTGCTGTAGACCTTAAAGTTTTTATTTTAGTATTCATGTTTCATTTTTTTCTGGTGAAACTTTAAAAAAAAATTGTTTTAAGTTATTGAGATAATAAAAGATACAAGTTAAACAATTATCCCAATTAAATGTATCTTTGTTTGGGTACATGTTTAATGTGTAGGCCTGTTTATTTGACCTTACTTTCAACTTTCCCTCCAGTGGACCATATTGTTGTGTACACAAATGTGTCATGTTTAAAATTAACCTTTTATTGCCTTTCAAATGTTTTGCTATTGTATTAGGGTTGATTTAAGTAATCATTCGACACAAACTAGTACTTGATTGTTTCATTGTTTACATTACAATGTACTTCTGTCATGCAGACCAGCCTTTTAGTGACATCTACTTTTATTCTACCAACTTAAACGAATCTCTATTGTTTTTTTTTTGTCAACATTTGTTGTAGACTTTTTTTTTTCTGGCATATTGCCAGAATATTTTACAAGCATGATTTTACAGTACTTAAATATATAATAAAACCTTGTTTTTTCTGTGGTTTTGCAGTACTTAATTAAATATATAAAAAAGCCTTGTCTTTTTCTCTCCTGTCCATAAATTTACTTGTTTCCGTCCATCTTTTAAAAGTATGACAGATTATCTAATAAGACAATTTTGAAGTTAAATGCGTATTTTGATTACATGAATTTGTTTTTATAAAAAACTAAGATTTTATATTTTGTCTACTTCTGTCCTTCATGGATTTTACTAGTTTAAAAAATCTGGTTTTAAAGTCAGCAAAGAGTTATTTCCCTGCCTTTTGCCAGACTTGATCAAAACAGTGATATACCTTGTCAAATGTTCCTGTACAGTTTTAAAGTTTTAACATTTGCTAACCTGTCTTTGTGTGCATAGTGCATATATATATATATATATATATATATATATATATATATATATATATATATATATATATATATATATATATATATATATATATATATATATATAATAAGATTGTGATCTATGAATGAGTGGACCAATCAATTGCTTGCTATAAATAGAAATTATATTTGAGCTGCATATAAAATAAAACAAAAAACTTTAATTTGGCACGTCTTTTGTTATTTGGCTAAATTATGTGTGTGTGTGAAATAAAGTGTGTCCACTTGTATGTACTCCAGAAGGAACGGTTGTATGATGTCTGCAACAGATAAAAATGTTTTTCTACAAGGTTACCTCCTGCCAGTTGTGGGAACCACTATGATGTCATGACTGTCAGGGCAGACAACTCACTCAGGTATCTCACCTCCCTACACCTGCTGTAGGTGTGCAAATACCTGGGGAACAGAGGTAGCACAGGTGAGTCAAACAGGTAATGTCTTGGTCAAGTTGGCTTAAGGCATTTTAGAACTCATCACATCTGGACTGCTGTGGTCAAGTTTCTACTGCTGTGGTCAAGTTTTTACTGTTGTGGTCAAGTTTCTACTGGTGTGGTCAAGTTTCTACTGCTGTGGTCAAGTTTCTACTTTGTGGTCAAGTTTCTATCTCTGTGGTTAAGTTTCTACTGTTGTGGTCAAGTTTCTACTGTTGTGGTCAAGTTTCGACTGTTGTTGTCAAGTTTCTACTGTTATGGTCAATTTTTTACTGTTGTGGTCAAGTGTCTACTGTTGTGGTCAAGTTTCGACTGTTGTTGTCAAGTTTCTACTGCTGTGGTCAAGATTACCTTGCTCCCCCTGTGGTACCTCGTACATTCCAGTGCCCACACAGGCTAGGTCAGGCTGACATGGACAAAGGTCAAGGTACAGTGTGACGTCATGGTCCTTCAACAGCTGGTCATTCCGCACGTAACAGCCTGTGGGTACCAGATCCAAGAGATAACACTTGAACATTTGAGTTGAGTTTGTACACTTGACCACCTGACCACTGGCTACTACACGACATTTGGTCATAACGATAACAAAAATGTCTTTAAATGTTATATTTGACTGTTAGATATAATACCGGGAACTAGCGTACTTTGTATCAGTATCATCTTTCCACGTCCGTGCCCAAGAAACATGGGACAGAGGAAGTAGAGTTTATCTGCTTCAGAGACCTTGGCACATGAAGGGATAATATGATCCGCACTTTTTAAATGCCATTTTTGTCCTAACATGAGTTAGAGCTGGGTGGACTCAGTGACATTCTACTGACTTAAACTCGGATTCGAACTCGAGACTTTTGGGTTAGCAGTCTAGCTCTCTACTGCTAGGCCACGCCGTCCCATTGTATCAGTACAGATCATGTTAGATCATACCTCAAGAGGTGACCTTGACCTTAGCCACAAACCCATGCCAACCCCTGGACCCAAGGAGTTGATCAGTCTAGAGATGAACAGAGTAGAGAGATGTTTCAGTTTGAAGGATTGATGTATCAGTCTAGAGATGAACAGAGTAGAGAGATGTTTCAGTTTGAAGGATTGATGTATCAGTCTAGAGATGAACAGAGTAGAGAGATGTTTCAGTTTGAAGGATTGATGTATCAGTCTAGAGATGAACAGAGTAGAGAGATGTTTCAGTTTGAAGGATTGATGTATCAGTCTAGAGATGAACAGAGTAGAGAGATGTTTCAGTTTGAAGGATTGATGTATCAGTCTAGAGATGAACAGAGTAGAGAGATGTTTCAGTTTGAAGGATTGATGTATCAGTCTAGAGATGAACAGAGTAGAGAGATGTTTCAGTTTGAAGGATTGATGTATCAGTCTAGAGATGAACAGAGTAGAGAGATGTTTCAGTTTGAAGGATTGATGTATCAGTCTAGAGATGAACAGAGTAGAGAGATGTTTCAGTTTGAAGGATTGATGTATCAGTCTAGAGATGAACAGAGTAGAGAGATGTTTCAGTTTGAAGGATTGATGTATCAGTCTAGAGATGAACAGAGTAGAGAGATGTTTCAGTTTGAAGGATTGATGTATCAGTCTAGAGATGAACAGAGTAGAGAGATGTTTCAGTTTGAAGGATTGATGTATCAGTCTAGAGATGAACAGAGTAGAGAGATGTTTCAGTTTGAAGGATTGATGTATCAGTCTATAGATGAACAGAGTAGAGAGATGTTTCAGTTTGAAGGATTGATGTATCAGTCTAGAGATGAACAGAGTAGAGAGATGTTTCAGTTTGAAGGATTGATGTATCAGTCTAGAGATGAACAGAGTAGAGAGATGTTTCAGTTTGAAGGATTGATGTATCAGTCTAGAGATGAACAGAGTAGAGAGATGTTTCAGTTTGAAGGATTGATGTATCAGTCTATAGATGAACAGAGTAGAGAGATGTTTCAGTTTGAAGGATTGATGTATCAGTCTAGAGATGAACAGAGTAGAGAGATGTTTCAGTTTGAAGGATTGATGTATCAGTCTATAGATGAACAGAGTAGAGAGATGTTTCATTTTGAAGGATTGATGTATCAGTCTAGAGATGAACAGAGTAGAGAGATGTTTCAGTTTGAAGGATTGATGTATCAGTCTAGAGATGAACAGAGTAGAGAGATGTTTCAGTTTGAAGGATTGATGTATCAGTCTATAGATGAACAGAGTAGAGAGATGTTTCAGTTTGAAGGATTGATGTATCAGTCTAGAGATGAACAGAGTAGAGAGATGTTTCAGTTTGAAGGATTGATGTATCAGTCTATAGATGAACAGAGTAGAGAGATGTTTCAGTTTGAAGGATTGATGTATCAGTCTAGAGATGAACAGAGTAGAGAGATGTTTCAGTTTGAAGGATTGATGTATCAGTCTAGAGATGAACAGAGTAGAGAGATGTTTCAGTTTGAAGGATTGATGTATCAGTCTATAGATGAACAGAGTAGAGAGATGTTTCAGTTTGAAGGATTGATGTATCAGTCTAGAGATGAACAGAGTAGAGAGATGTTTCAGTTTGAAGGATTGATGTATCAGTCTATAGATGAACAGAGTAGAGAGATGTTTCAGTTTGAATGATTGATGTATCAGTCTATAGATGAACAGAGTAGAGAGATGTTTCAGTTTGAAGGATTGATGTATCAGTCTAGAGATGAACAGAGTAGAGAGATGTTTCAGTTTGAAGGATTGATGTATCAGTCTAGAGATGAACAGAGTAGAGAGATGTTTCAGTTTGAAGGATTGATGTATCAGTCTAGAGATGAACAGAGTAGAGAGATGTTTCAGTTTGAAGGATTGATGTATCAGTCTAGAGATGAACAGAGTAGAGAGATGTTTCAGTTTGAAGGATTGATGTATCAGTCTAGAGATGAACAGAGTAGAGAGATGTTTCAGTTTGAAGGATTGATGTATCAGTCTAGAGATGAACAGAGTAGAGAGATGTTTCAGTTTGAAGGATTGATGTATCAGTCTAGAGATGAACAGAGTAGAGAGATGTTTCAGTTTGAAGGATTGATGTATCAGTCTAGAGATGAACAGAGTAGAGAGATGTTTCAGTTTGAAGGATTGATGTATCAGTCTATAGATGAACAGAGTAGAGAGATGTTTCAGTTTGAAGGATTGATGTATCAGTCTAGAGATGAACAGAGTAGAGAGATGTTTCAGTTTGAAGGATTGATGCAATACCCTGACTTAGAAAACCAACAGTAATGAATCAAGTTTGTATGCAAGTCTCCTCTTACTTCCTCCATCGCTTCCTCTCGCCACACAACTCCCTCCCACCTGCCTCCTCCCATCCCTGATGATGGGACTCAGACAACACGAGCTGGTCTCACAGTCAGCGCTGGTGCTACATGACTGAGATTGTCGTGTGTCGGTGGTTAGACTATCCGTCTGTCGTGTGCCGGTGGTTAGACCATCCATCTCTGGGACCACCTACCAAAATGATGTGAAACAAATTTACAGATTACGGTTGCTGTGGGGGACAATACAAAATGGTCAGTAGTATGTCCATGTGGTCAAACCTACCATTCGAATAACTTCAGCCTACCCCTCCCCCCCCCCCCCCCCCCAACTCATGTACTTACCACCGAAACAACTATAAGCACAACACAACACAAATATTTCATGTCGAGATTTGGTAGCGCACTGAACATCACACCATCAACAACAATGCAGGGTACCAAACGGCAAGCAGCACTAACAAACTAGATCAAGGCCATTCTTAAAACCTAGGCATGATTTGACTTCATTTCTTACTTTTTTTTAAACAATAAATAATTCCGTTATCTCAGCCTGCATGATTTTCTAACGGCTTATCTTTTCTAATCAGGCCTACATACAAGGGGTCTATTGGCAATTAGCCAGTGCAAAGTAATCAAACAACAAAAGTTTACTGATGTTGTAAATATTCTTTAATCAATTCAAAAGTGAGTGAACAACGGCGCTTTACACATCATAGATCAGAACGTGTCGAGTCCTTTGTGTCAGTGCTGTGTTGTTGTGTGTTGTGTTGGTGTGAGTAGAGTTCAGGCTGGTCCGCGTGTTACGAGCAAGTCCCTGAAATAAAAACATGGCGACACAATGTGTGAACACTCGGACCAGACTCATTTGACTGTAGCTCAAATATTCTAACGCCATAGCACTCCCCCATGTGCTAAGGTCCCAGCACTCACTGGGTCTGCTGTTTGCTGTCACTAGGTATCTTTCATTTCAATTTGTAACCAAGTGATCCTGTCAGATTATTTACCACTAATAATACCACTGTCCTCTACATACCACTTCTAATACATACCACTGTCCTCTACTTACCAGTTTCACCCTGTGGGACCTCCTGAATCCCCGACCCCACACATCTATGGCCCGACACACACGGGCAGGCGTCCATGTACAGGGTACTGGTGTAGTTGGTCAAGTCCTGGTCATTCTTCACACACTGGGGACAGACATGTTAGCCTTTAGCCATTGGTCATTCTTCACGTAACACACTGGGGACAGACATGTTAGCCTTTAGCCACTGACCTACAGAAACAACAGGTAGACACATAGACGTTACCATACAAACAACACGGAAACATATTAACCGTTGCAGTCGCAGGTAGGCTATAATGTTCCAGTTTATAATTGGAATGACACTAATGACACTAATGACCAGTCTGGAACTCACTCTGTCCCTGTCCTCCCCGTGGGGAACATGTTCCTCCCGTCTGCCTCCTGCCCCTCCCTCCCTCCCGTCTGCCTCCTGCCCCTCCCTCCCGTCTGCCTCCTGCCCCTCCCTCCCGTCTGCCTCCTGCCCCTCCCTCCCTCCCGTCTGCCTCCTGCCCCTCCCTCCCTCCCGTCTGCCTCCTGCCCCTCCCTCCCTCCCGTCTGCCTCCTGCCCCTCCCTCCCTCCCGTCTGCCTCCTGCCCCTCCCTCCCTCCCGTCTGCCTCCTGCCCCTCCCTCCCTCCCGTCTGCCTCCTGCCCCTCCCTCCCTCCCGTCTGCCTCCTGCCCCTCCCTCCCGTCTGCCCCCTGCCCCTCCCTCCCTCCCGTCTGCCTCCTGCCCCTCCCTCCCTCCCGTCTGCCCCCTGCCCCTCCCTCCCTCCCGTCTGCCTCCTGCCCCTCCCTCCCTCCCGTCTGCCTCCTGCCCCTCCCTCCCGTCTGCCCCCTGCCCCTCCCTCCCTCCCGTCTGCCTCCTGCCCCTCCCTCCCTCCCGTCTGCCTCCTGCCCCTCCCTCCCTCCCGTCTGCCTCCTGCCCCTCCCTCCCTCCCGTCTGCCTCCTGCCCCTCCCTCCCTCCCGTCTGCCTCCTGTCCCTCCCTCCCGTCTGCCCCCTGCCCCTCCCTCCCTCCCGTCTGCCCCCTGCCCCTCCCTCCCTCCCGTCTGCCTCCTGCCCCTCCCTCCCTCCCGTCTGCCTCCTGCCCCTCCCTCCCGTCTGCCCCCTGCCCCTCCCTCCCTCCCGTCTGCCTCCTGCCCCTCCCTCCCTCCCGTCTGCCTCCTGCCCCTCCCTCCCTCCCGTCTGCCTCCTGCCCCTCCCTCCCTCCCGTCTGCCTCCTGCCCCTCCCTCCCTCCCGTCTGCCTCCTGCCCCTCCCTCCCGTCTGCCCCCTGCCCCTCCCTCCCTCCCGTCTGCCCCCTGCCCCTCCCTCCCGTCTGCCTCCTGCCCCTCCCTCCCTCCCGTCTGCCTCCTGTCCCTCCCTCCCTCCCGTCTGCCTCCTGCCCCTCCCTCCCTCCCGTCTGCCTCCTGCCCCTCCCTCCCGTCTGCCCCCTGCCCCTCCCTCCCTCCCGTCTGCCTCCTGCCCCTCCCTCCCTCCCGTCTGCCTCCTGCCCCTCCCTCCCTCCCGTCTGCCTCCTGCCCCTCCCTCCCTCCCGTCTGCCTCCTGCCCCTCCCTCCCGTCTGCCCCCTGCCCCTCCCTCCCTCCCGTCTGCCTCCTGCCCCTCCCTCCCTCCCGTCTGCCTCCTGCCCCTCCCTCCCTCCCGTCTGCCTCCTGCCCCTCCCTCCCTCCCGTCTGCCTCCTGCCCCTCCCTCCCTCCCGTCTGCCTCCTGCCCCTCCCTCCCTCCCGTCTGCCTCCTGCCCCTCCCTCCCTCCCGTCTGCCTCCTGTCCCTCCCTCCCGTCTGCCCCCTGCCCCTCCCTCCCTCCCGTCTGCCCCCTGCCCCTCCCTCCCTCCCGTCTGCCTCCTGCCCCTCCCTCCCTCCCGTCTGCCTCCTGCCCCTCCCTCCCTCCCGTCTGCCTCCTGCCCCTCCCTCCCGTCTGCCCCCTGCCCCTCCCTCCCTCCCGTCTGCCTCCTGCCCCTCCCTCCCTCCCGTCTGCCCCCTGCCCCTCCCTCCCTCCCGTCTGCCTCCTGCCCCTCCCTCCCTCCCGTCTGCCTCCTGCCCCTCCCTCCCGTCTGCCCCCTGCCCCTCCCTCCCTCCCGTCTGCCCCCTGCCCCTCCCTCCCTCCCGTCTGCCTCCTGCCCCTCCCTCCCTCCCGTCTGCCTCCTGCCCCTCCCTCCCTCCCGTCTGCCTCCTGCCCCTCCCTCCCTCCCGTCTGCCTCCTGCCCCTCCCTCCCGTCTGCCCCCTGCCCCTCCCTCCCTCCCGTCTGCCTCCTGCCCCTCCCTCCCCCCCGTCTGCCTCCTGCCCCTCCCTCCCTCCCGTCTGCCTCCTGCCCCTCCCTCCCTCCCGTCTGCCTCCTGCCCCTCCCTCCCGTCTGCCCCCTGCCCCTCCCTCCCTCCCGTCTGCCTCCTGCCCCTCCCTCCCGTCTGCCCCCTGCCCCTCCCTCCCTCCCGTCTGCCTCCTGCCCCTCCCTCCCTCCCGTCTGCCTCCTGCCCCTCCCTCCCGTCTGCCCCCTGCCCCTCCCTCCCTCCCGTCTGCCTCCTGCCCCTCCCTCCCTCCCGTCTGCCTCCTGCCCCTCCCTCCCTCCCGTCTGCCTCCTGCCCCTCCCTCCCGTCTGCCCCCTGCCCCTCCCTCCCTCCCGTCTGCCTCCTGCCCCTCCCTCCCTCCCGTCTGCCTCCTGCCCCTCCCTCCCTCCCGTCTGCCTCCTGCCCCTCCCTCCCTCCCGTCTGCCTCCTGCCCCTCCCTCCCTCCCGTCTGCCTCCTGCCCCTCCCTCCCGTCTGCCTCCTGCCCCTCCCTCCCTCCCGTCTGCCTCCTGCCCCTCCCTCCCTCCCGTCTGCCTCCTGCCCCTCCCTCCCTCCCGTCTGCCTCCTGCCCCTCCCTCCCTCCCGTCTGCCTCCTGCCCCTCCCTCCCGTCTGCCCACTGCCCCTCCCTCCCTCCCGTCTGCCTCCTGCCCCTCCCTCCCTCCCGTCTGCCTCCTGCCCCTCCCTCCCTCCCGTCTGCCTCCTGCCCCTCCCTCCCTCCCGTCTGCCTCCTGCCCCTCCCTCCCGTCTGCCCCCTGCCCCTCCCTCCCTCCCGTCTGCCTCCTGCCCCTCCCTCCCGTCTGCCCCCTGCCCCTCCCTCCCTCCCGTCTGCCTCCTGCCCCTCCCTCCCTCCCGTCTGCCTCCTGCCCCTCCCTCCCGTCTGCCCCCTGCCCCTCCCTCCCTCCCGTCTGCCTCCTGCCCCTCCCTCCCTCCCGTCTGCCTCCTGCCCCTCCCTCCCTCCCGTCTGCCTCCTGCCCCTCCCTCCCTCCCGTCTGCCTCCTGCCCCTCCCTCCCGTCTGCCCCTCCCTCCCTCCCGTCTGCCTCCTGCCCCTCCCTCCCTCCCGTCTGCCTCCTGCCCCTCCCTCCCTCCCGTCTGCCTCCTGCCCCTCCCTCCCTCCCGTCTGCCTCCTGCCCCTCCCTCCCTCCCGTCTGCCTCCTGCCCCTCCCTCCCTCCCGTCTGCCTCCTGCCCCTCCCTCCCGTCTGCCTCCTGCCCCTCCCTCCCTCCCGTCTGCCTCCTGCCCCTCCCTCCCTCCCGTCTGCCTCCTGCCCCTCCCTCCCGTCTGCCTCCTGCCCCTCCTGACGACCGGACTTAGGCAGCACAGGTCCCTCCTGCACTGACCGCTCGTCTCACACGGCTGGTTGCAGGATCTGCTACCTGCAGCTAAGCCAGCCTGTCAAACAGTGGCTGGGACCCTGTCATGGCAGGGACCCTGTCAAACAGTGACAGGGACCCTGTCAAACAGTGACAGGGACCCTGTCAAACAGTGACAGGGACCCTGTCAAACAGGAAACTAACCAAACATTTCCATGAACAAAAGCCTTGGTCTGACAATGTATTGACCAGACTTGTAGAGTGGCTAAAACTCAAGTTTTAGAGAAAAATGTCGAGCTGTATTGTTGGGTCCACACCCACTCCTTTCCCAGCTACTCTTCCCCCCCCCCCCTGTCGTTTTCTTTCAGTTGGGCTTGAGCAGGTCGACCAGTACATAATTACCTCCCATACGTACATACATGCATGCATACATACATGATTCATCACCCTCCAGCCTCCGGACATACTGATCTATGACGGGAGGGGGAGCCTCACTTTGACACAATCAATGGCCCAGATGTGTTACCCTGATATTCTGTTATTAACTATTTGTTTTGTTGTCTTTGTGATGGTGGGCTGTTAACGGCTGGTAGGAGTCGATGTTGGGGGGGGGGGGGGGGTCATGATGTGTGGGGTTGGGTGAGTGTGGGAGGGTGTCAGTCTCTCAGGTGACACATTTCTAGGCAACTAGTATACAGGGAGACTACCTCAGGTGCAGATCATGTTTTATATCATATAGTTATCTTTAGATTCTGTGAAAAGTCTATCAGTAAAGGACCATGACTTGTGTGTTTACTAAGCAGCATATACCCGGCATTGACCGGATTTAGGAAATATATTACTTTTCAAAATAACCCTAACCACAACCAAAACACACCAAAAAAAAAAACCGCAAATCCAAACGCAAACCCAAACACAAAGAAAACACAAATGCAAACGAAAAAAAAAAACACAAACGCAAAAACAAATAGAAACACAAACCTAAACGCAAACAATAACTCAAAATAATGCAAAAGTAAATGCGAACACAAACACAAAAAATTAAATAAAAATTAGATATTCTTACATTTTCATCAGAAATGAACTCAAAAGGAAAGTTTGAAAGAAATTAAAAATGGGTCAAAACTACAAGACGTGATTATAATCTAACAGACAGACACACAAACAGACACGCAAGGCGACCTAAGAAATCTGTAAAAATAGAGCACTTAAAATTATCGGCAGTAATGGAGCCATCTTTTTAAAACCTCGAGTCAAATATTTATCGTCAACCGGGTGGTCCGCATGTTGCATGTGAGTTTAAACAATGGCCTGAAATATTTGGTGACAAATCCAGCGACTCACCAGCAGAACAGAGAGAAGCATCCAAAGCAGCAGACATGTTGTGTTGGCTTTGGTGTTCGATGACATGTCTGACAGTTGATGTATGACAGATGTCAGATCTGACAGTGGTTGTTTGACAGGTCGGAGAATCTAATACTTCTTGTACAACTGAATGATTGGGTTGTTGTGTTTTTATTTTATACCCTCCCCTGTGACGTCATTACTGGTTGTGTTGTGGGCGGGAAGGTGGGTGACACACGTGATTGGTTCATATTTTACACGTGATTTATATCCAACATAAACATCACAGGTGTGAGACAGTAATCGATAATTGATAAGACAAAAACACATATGACTTATTTTTATTCTCGAAAAACAATATAATCCTGTATGGTTTGAAACAAAAAAGAATGGCTTTCTGTTTCCCATTTTTGGCTTTCTGTTTCCCATTTTTGGCTTTCTGTTTCCCATTTGGCAAGTCTGTTTTCTGCTACAAGTTAAACACAGTTTCCTGTTGAGTGGGTACAAATACGTTAGAACGACGTGGGTAGCATACAATTTTAAGTGGATATCATTCAGGAATACACAAACAGTTTTAAATATATATTATTTATACCTTAACTCCCATACAAGACACCACCCCCCTGACACCACCCCCCTGACACCACCCCCCCCTAAGACACCACCCCCCTAAGACACCACCCCCCTAAGACACCACCCCTCTGACACCAACCCCCTAAGACACCACCCCCCCCCCCTAAGACACCACCCCCCTAAGACACCACCCCCCTAAGACACCACCCCTCTGACACCAACCCCCTAAGACACCACCCCTAAGACACCACCCCTCTGACACCAACCCCCTAAGACACCACCCCCCTAAGACACCACCCCCCCTAAGACACCACCCCCCTAAGACATCACCCCTCTGACACCAACCCCCTAAGACACCACCCCCCCTAAGACACCACCCCTAAGACACCACCCCTGTAAGACACCACCCCTCTGACACCACCCCTGTAAGACACCACCCCTCTGACACCACCCTGTAAGACACCACCCCTCTGACACCACCACCCCCCCCTAAGACACCACCCCTCTGACACCACCACCCCCCCCTAAGACACCACACTGCCTCACCTGTCTCCCCCAGGGGCATGACCATCAAGCCCGTCCCGTTACACTTGAGGCCGTCAGCGCAGGGACAGGCCAAGTTCATGTCAGTCACCTGTGTGATCCTAACCAAGCAGGCTGGGGGGGGGGGGGGGGGAGTGGACCAAAGTTATTATTGGCAGTTGTACACTTTCTAAAAAAGTTAAACGTTACAATGTTGTACACATCACAATCATGTACACATCACAATCCTATGCACATCACAATCATGTGCAAGTCCACATAGATGTAACATTGGTAAACCAGACAATGGTGAATAAGTTTACTCTCTCCAGCTGACTTGCCATGATAAAATGTTCCAGAACGTCTAAATATAAAAGGTAATTGACCTCCATGATACTCATAACATTCAATTACTTTCAGATGACCAGTAAAATATATTTTAATATTTATTTTTTAAAATGCAATTTTTTAATGAGTTGCTTCAGGGTAGCCACAAAACCTCCCTCTATCCAACTGGTCCAGGCGTGGCTACCTTTTGTTATTGTTTTCTCGTCATGATGTGTGGGCTACATGCTAATGTGATGTGATATTTGATTCAGGCGTTCTATATACAATCTTACGTTACTTAATTGCATCGATATTTGTTTTACTGAAACTGCATAATTTCACACTAATAATTTAACATGTCTGTTGAGCAGGGTCGGATTAAGTTTGGTCGGGGCCTCTGGCTGCTGCCTTCTCAGCCCACCACTGATGTCGAGTTAAATTAGTTGATAATTGGAAACTCAAATGCTAATTAACAGAAAGGACCTACAGTCTCCGACTCCCCCAAGTTTCTTGCACACTCCCCCAGCCCCAAAGGCCGCTCGCCTTCTCCCCACGGGCTGCATGAGGCTGATACAACATTCCTCTGCCCCACAGTCCCTGACAGTAGAGCAGGGGGCGTCCACAGCTTTCTTGGTCAGGGCAGGGGCCGAACACACGCCTGATATGTAAACAAATGGAGGATGTTATACATTTAACTGATTAAGCATTTTTATAGACCTAAAATATTGGACTATATTTTTAAAATTACATACTCACCAACCTCCCCCTAGGGTACCTAAAGTGTGTACTCACCAACCTCCCCCTGGGGTACCTAAAGTGTGTACTCACCAACCTCCCCCTGGGGTACCTAAAGTGTGTACTCACCAACCTCCCCCTGGGGTACCTAAAGTGTGTACTCACCAACCTCCCCCTGGGGTACCTAAAGTGTGTACTCACCAACCTCCCCCTGGGGTACCTAAAGTGTGTACTCACCAACCTCCCCCTGTGGTACCTAAAGTGTGTACTCACCAACCTCCCCCTGGGGTAGTGTGTACTCACCAACCTCCCCCTGGGGTACCTAAAGTGTGTACTCACCAACCTCCCCCTGGGGTACCTAAAGTGTGTACTCACCAACCTCCCCCTGGGGTACCTAAAATGTGTACTCACCAACCTCCCCCTGGGGTACCTAAAGTGTGTACTCACCAACCTCCCCCTGGGGTACCTAAAGTGTGTACTCACCAACCTCCCCCTGGGGTACCTAAAGTGTGTACTCACCAACCTCCCCCTGGGGTACCTAAAATGTGTACTCACCAACCTCCCCCTGGGGTACCTAAAGTGTGTACTCACCAACCTCCCCCTGGGGTACCTAAAATGTGTACTCACCAACCTCCCCCTGGGGTAGTGTGTACTCACCAACCTCCCCCTGGGGTACCTAAAGTGTGTACTCACCAACCTCCCCCTGGGGTACCTAAAGTGTGTACTCACCAACCTCCCCCTGGGGTACCTAAAGTGTGTACTCACCAACCTCCCCCTGGGGTACCTAAAATGTGTACTCACCAACCTCCCCCTGGGGTACCTAAAGTGTGTACTCACCAACCTCCCCCTGGGGTACCTAAAGTGTGTACTCACCAACCTCCCCCTGGGGTACCTAAAGTGTGTACTCACCAACCTCCCCCTGGGGTAGTGTGTACTCACCAACCTCCCCCTGGGGTACCTAAAATGTGTACTCACCAACCTCCCCCTGGGGTAGTGTGTACTCACCAACCTCCCCCTGGGGTACCTAAAGTGTGTACTCACCAACCTCCCCCTGGGGTACCTAAAGTGTGTACTCACCAACCTCCCCCTGGGGTACCTAAAATGTGTACTCACCAACCTCCCCCTGGGGTACCTAAAGTGTGTACTCACCAACCTCCCCCTGGGGTACCTAAAGTGTGTACTCACCAACCTCCCCCTGGGGTACCTAAAGTGTGTACTCACCAACCTCCCCATGTGGTACCTAAAGTGTGTACTCACCAACCTCCCCCTGGGGTACCTAAAGTGTGTACTCACCAACCTCCCCCTGGGGTACCTAAAGTATGTACTCACCAACCTCCCCCTGGGGTAGTGTGTACTCACCAACCTCCCCCTGGGGTAGTGTGTACTCACCAACCTCCCCCTGGGGTAGTGTGTACTCACCAACCTCCCCCTGGGGTAGTGTGTACTCACCAACCTCCCCCTGGGGTACCTAAAGTGTGTACTCACCAACCTCCCCCTGGGGTAGTGTGTACTCACCAACCTCCCCCTGGGGTAGTGTGTACTCACCAACCTCCCCCTGGGGTACCTAAAGTGTGTACTCACCAACCTCCCCCTGGGGTAGTGTGTACTCACCAACCTCCCCCTGGGGTACCTAAAGTGTGTACTCACCAACCTCCCCCTGGGGTACCTAAAGTGTGTACTCACCAACCTCCCCCTGGGGTACCTAAAGTGTGTACTCACCAACCTCCCCATGTGGTACCTAAAGTGTGTACTCACCAACCTCCCCCTGGGGTACCTAAAGTGTGTACTCACCAACCTCCCCCTGGGGTACCTAAAGTGTGTACTCACCAACCTCCCCCTGGGGTAGTGTGTACTCACCAACCTCCCCCTGGGGTAGTGTGTACTCACCAACCTCCCCCTGGGGTAGTGTGTACTCACCAACCTCCCCCTGGGGTACCTAAAGTGTGTACTCACCAACCCCGGGGTACCTAAAGTGTGTACTCACCAACCTCCCCCTGGGGTACCTAAAGTGTGTACTCACCAACCTCCCCCTGGGGTACCTAAAGTGTGTACTCACCAACCTCCCCCTGGGGTACCTAAAGTGTGTACTCACCAACCTCCCCCTGGGGTACCTAAAGTGTGTACTCACCAACCTCCCCCTGGGGTACCTAAAGTGTGTACTCACCAACCTCCCCCTGGGGTACCTAAAGTGTGTACTCACCAACCTCCCCCTGGGGTACCTAAAGTGTGTACTCACCAACCTCCCCATGTGGTACCTAAAGTGTGTACTCACCAACCTCCCCCTGGGGTACCTAAAGTGTGTACTCACCAACCTCCCCCTGGGGCACCTAAAGTGTGTACTCACCAACCTCCCCCTGGGGTAGTGTGTACTCACCAACCTCCCCCTGGGGTAGTGTGTACTCACCAACCTCCCCCTGGGGCTGGGGTAGTGTGTACTCACCAACCTCCCCCTGGGGTAGTGTGTACTCACCAACCTCCCCCTGGGGTAGTGTGTACTCACCAACCTCCCCCTGGGGTACCTAAAGTGTGTACTCACCAACCCCGGGGTACCTAAAGTGTGTACTCACCAACCTCCCCCTGGGGTACCTAAAGTGTGTACTCACCAACCTCCCCCTGGGGTACCTAAAGTGTGTACTCACCAACCTCCCCCTGGGGTACCTAAAGTGTGTACTCACCAACCTCCCCCTGGGGTACCTAAAGTGTGTACTCACCAACCTCCCCCTGGGGTACCTAAAATGTGTACTCACCAACCTCCCCCTGGGGTACCTAAAGTGTGTACTCACCAACCTCCCCCTGGGGTACCTAAAATGTGTACTCACCAACCTCCCCCTGGGGTAGTGTGTACTCACCAACCTCCCCCTGGGGTACCTAAAGTGTGTACTCACCAACCTCCCCCTGGGGTACCTAAAGTGTGTACTCACCAACCTCCCCCTGGGGTACCTAAAGTGTGTACTCACCAACCTCCCCCTGGGGTACCTAAAGTGTGTACTCACCAACCTCCCCCTGGGGTACCTAAAGTGTGTACTCACCAACCTCCCGCTGGGGTACCTAAAGTGTGTACTCACCAACCTCCCCCTGGGGTACCTAAAGTGTGTACTCACCAACCTCCCCCTGGGGTACCTAAAGTGTGTACTCACCAACCTCCCCCTGGGGTACCTAAAGTGTGTACTCACCAACCTCCCCCTGGGGTAGTGTGTACTCACCAACCTCCCCCTGGGGTACCTAAAATGTGTACTCACCAACCTCCCCCTGGGGTAGTGTGTACTCACCAACCTCCCCCTGGGGTACCTAAAGTGTGTACTCACCAACCTCCCCCTGGGGTACCTAAAGCGTGTACTCACCAACCTCCCCCTGGGGTACCTAAAATGTGTACTCACCAACCTCCCCCTGGGGTACCTAAAGTGTGTACTCACCAACCTCCCCCTGGGGTACCTAAAGTGTGTACTCACCAACCTCCCCCTGGGGTACCTAAAGTGTGTACTCACCAACCTCCCCCTGGGGTACCTAAAGTGTGTACTCACCAACCTCCCCCTGGGGTAAAGTGTGTATTAACCAACCTCCCCCTGGGGTACCTAAAGTGTACTCACCAAACTCCCCCTGGGGTACCCAAAATGTGTACTCACCAACCTCCCCCTGGGGTACCTAAAGTGTGTACTCACCAACCTCCCCCTGGGGTACCTAAAGTGTGTACTCACCAACCTCCCCCTGGGGTACCTAAACTGTGTACTCACCAACCTCCCCCTGGGGTACCTAAAGTGTGTACTCACCAACTTCCCCTGGGGTACCTAAAGTGTGTACTCACCAACCTCCCCCTGGGGTACCTAAAGTGTGTACTCACCAACCTCCCCCTGGGGTACCTAAAGTGTGTACTCACCAACCTCCCCCTGGGGTACCTAAAGTGTGTACTCACCAACCTCCCCCTGAGGTACCTAAAGTGTGTACTCACCAACCTCCCCCTGGGGTAGTGTGTACTCACCAACCTCCCCCTGGGGTACCTAAAGTGTGTACTCACCAACCTCCCCCTGAGGTACCTAAAGTGTGTACTCACCAACTCTGGGGTACCTAAAATGTGTACTCACCAACCTCCCCCTGGGGTACCTAAAGTGTGTACTCACCAACCTCCCCCTGGGGTACCTAAAGTGTGTACTCACCAACCTCCCCCTGGGGTACCTAAAGTGTGTACTCACCAACCTCCCCCTGGGGTACCTAAAGTGTGTACTCACCAACCTCCCCCTGGGGTACCTAAAGTGTGTACTCACCAACCTCCCCCTGGGGTACCTAAAGTGTGTACTCACCAACCTCCCCCTGGGGTACCTAAAGTGTGTACTCACCAACCTCCCCCTGGGGTACCTAAAGTGTGTACTCACCAACCTCCCCCTGGGGTACCTAAAGTGTGTACTCACCAACCTCCCCCTGGGGTACCTAAAGTGTGTACTCACCAACCTCCCCCTGGGGTACCTAAAGTGTGTACTCACCAACCTCCCCCTGGGGTACCTAAAGTGTGTACTCACCAACCCTGGGGTACCTAAAGTGTGTACTCACCAACTCTGGGGTACCTAAAATGTGTACTCACCAACCTCCCCCTGGGGTACCTAAAGTGTGTACTCACCAACCTCCCCCTGGGGTACCTAAAGTGTGTACTCACCAACCTCCCCCTGGGGTACCTAAAGTGTGTACTCACCAACCTCCCCCTGGGGTACCTAAAGTGTGTACTCACCAACCTCCCCCTGGGGTACCTAAAGTGTGTACTCACCAACCTCCCCCTGGGGTACCTAAAGTGTGTACTCACCAACCTCCCCCATGGGGTACCTAAAGTGTGTACTCACCAACTTCCCCTGGGGTACCTAAAGTGTGTACTCACCAACCTCCCCCTGGGGTACCTAAAGTGTGTACTCACCAACCTCCCCCTGGGGTACCTAAAGTGTGTACTCACCAACCTCCCCCTGGGGTACCTAAAGTGTGTACTCACCAACCTCCCCCTGAGGTACCTAAAGTGTGTACTCACCAACCTCCCCCTGGGGTAGTGTGTACTCACCAACCTCCCCCTGGGGTACCTAAAGTGTGTACTCACCAACCTCCCCCTGAGGTACCTAAAGTGTGTACTCACCAACTTCCCCTGGGGTACCTAAAGTGTGTACTCACCAACCTCCCCCTGGGGTACCTAAAGTGTGTACTCACCAACCTCCCCCTGGGGTACCTAAAGTGTGTACTCACCAACCTCCCCCTGGGGTACCTAAAGTGTGTACTCACCAACCTCCCCCTGGGGTACCTAAAGTGTGTACTCACCAACCTCCCCCTGGGGTACCTAAAGTGTGTACTCACCAACCTCCCCCTGGGGTACCTAAAGTGTGTACTCACCAACCTCCCCCTGGGGTACCTAAAGTGTGTACTCACCAACCTCCCCCTGGGGTACCTAAAGTGTGTACTCACCAACCTCCCCCTGGGGTACCTAAAGTGTGTACTCACCAACCTCCCCCTGGGGTACCTAAAGTGTGTACTCACCAACCTCCCCCTGGGGTACCTAAAGTGTGTACTCACCAACCTCCCCCTGGGGTACCTAAAGTGTGTACTCACCAACCTCCCCCTGGGGTACCTAAAGTGTGTACTCACCAACCTCCCCCTGGGGTACCTAAAGTGTGTACTCACCAACCCTGGGGTACCTAAAGTGTGTACTCACCAACTCTGGGGTACCTAAAATGTGTACTCACCAACCTCCCCCTGGGGTACCTAAAGTGTGTACTCACCAACCTCCCCCTGGGGTACCTAAAGTGTGTACTCACCAACCTCCCCCTGGGGTACCTAAAGTGTGTACTCACCAACCTCCCCCTGGGGTACCTAAAGTGTGTACTCACCAACCTCCCCCTGGGGTACCTAAAGTGTGTACTCACCAACCTCCCCCTGGGGTACCTAAAGTGTGTACTCACCAACCTCCCCCTGGGGTACCTAAAGTGTGTACTCACCAACCTCCCCCTGGGGTACCTAAAGTGTGTACTCACCAACCTCCCCCTGGGGTACCTAAAGTGTGTACTCACCAACCTCCCCCTGGGGTACCTAAAGTGTGTACTCACCAACCTCCCCCTGGGGTACCTAAAGTGTGTACTCACCAACCTCCCCCTGGGGTACCTAAAGTGTGTACTCACCAACCTCCCCCTGGGGTACCTAAAGTGTGTACTCACCAACCTCCCCCTGGGGTACCTAAAGTGTGTACTCACCAACCTCCCCCTGGGGTACCTAAAGTGTGTACTCACCAACCTCCCCCTGGGGTACCTAAAGTGTGTACTCACCAACCTCCCCCTGGGGTACCTAAAGTGTGTACTCACCAACCTCCCCCTGAGGTAGTGTGTACTCACCAACCTCCCCCTGGGGTAGTGTGTACTCACCAACCTCCCCCTGGGGTACCTAAAGTGTGTACTCACCAACCTCCCCCTGGGGTACCTAAAGTGTGTACTCACCAACCTCCCCCTGGGGTAGTGTGTACTTACCAACCTCCCCCTGGGGTACCTAAAGTGTGTACTCACCAACCTCCCCCTGGGGTACCTAAAGTGTGTACTCACCATCCTCCCCCTGGGGTACCTAAAGTGTGTACTCACCAACCTCCCCCTGGGGTACCTAAAATGTGTACTCACCAACCTCCCCCTGGGGTACCTAAAGTGTGTACTCACCAACCTCCCCCTGGGGTACATAAAGTGTGTACTCACCAACCTCCCCCTGGGGTACCTAAAGTGTGTACTCACCAACCTCCCCCTGGGGTACCTAAAGTGTGTACTCACCAACCTCCCCCTGGGGTACATAAAGTGTGTACTCACCAACCTCCCCCTGGGGTAGTGTGTACTCACCAACCTCCCCCTGGGGTACCTAAAGTGTGTACTCACCAACCTCCCCCTGGGGTAGTGTGTACTCACCAACCTCCCCCTGGGGTACCTCACGAAAACCTGAGCCCACACAGTGACTGCCGTCCTGACAGGGACAGCTGTTGTAGTACATCGTGTTGTCATGGGTCGGTAGATACTGCTCGTTGTTCACGTAACATTCTGGCCGGTGACAAAATTAATGTAACAGTAGGTAGTCCAAACTGGCGAAAAAGTGCGTTTTAGGGACAGTTTTTGCGGTTTTCAAAAATAAAATTTCACTACTTTTAGTTGTCCTATAAGAATAAAAATTATATGTCAATAAAGTTTATGTCTTTATCTGCCGTAATCTGGTATTTTTATATCTGTAACATATGTTTGAATGTGTTTTATATTTGTTTGAAAAGTATCAGTTACGTCAACAAATTTCACCGTTTTGCGTGTACCGATCGACCCCACACTATTTCATTTGGTTGCGGCTTCGCGACGAAGCATCGTAGAAGCATAATCTTAATGTCATTTTAAAGAGCGAATTCTAGTCTATCGTTTGATGTATAAGTTGAAAAAATAACTTGCTTATTTCATTTTAAAAAATCAGTTTTTAAACTTTAAATGACGATATATACACGAAAACAAACTAATTCTGTTTCAATCTTTACACCGATGTAAAGTTCACTTTTATAACTACTTTGTGTTGTAAATTCAAGTCTTTCTGATTTACGGTCGCGAAGCCGTACCCTCAATAAGCATATAACCCTCGAGTCAACTTTCAGCCCCGAGTCAGTTGCTCGCCGAACGGTTTTAAAGGTTGACGACCAATGATGCTAAACGGATTTTACCCTTGCTAGAGCCTTCAAACAAGTTGTAAGTATCATTTTTAAAGTTTCATTTCCATTTTAATAAATGAATTTTAAGTTTCAATGTCAGTTTGGTTTAATTAGCACACGTTATTAATGTAAATTTGAACCCTACTAGTCCACGGTTTTAGCGCGTGAACTACGCTTGTACACATGGTGTGTTTAAACGTGAAGCTATTTAATTCAGGACATTCTAGGGACTTAAAATATGGATGCACTTAACTATTAGATGCTAGTGTTTACTAATTCTTTAAAATCTATCGAATGGGATTAATGATAGGGTCGTATTACTACAATTTATCTGGACTATCGCGTCAAAATTTATGAATCGACAAATTCAAAATGGCCACCAGACATTCTTGGTTACTATGTGGACGAACTCAATTATTTACAGGGAACGAAGGTTAAATACTTATAAAATATTATTGAAACACAAAAGAAACTTATAATTGTAATAACTATACATTTTTATCAATTTATCTAAAACAAAAGACACTAAATTTTAAGGACTAATGTGATTAATTTTTAATTTTCTGTTGTGCACTTTGATTCTGATTCCCCTGCTGAATAATGTGAAATGGTCTGCGCCAGTCTCCTTAATAAAATGTACCAGATCAATTTTTAGATGGTGGTGCAATTTAATAAGATTGTACATGTTGTGACTTAGTTTTAAATGTTATATTAGTTGTAAGTGTAAGTAGTACTAGTAGTATTTCTCATTATTTATTTATTTTATATGCATATAGTAACACTGAAGGACAGTTAAGTTGTCCTATATGATGTTGAGAACCACAGTATGGCATCTTCATCATTGGATATCTCAACCATTGTGGCACAAACAACGAATATTTCATTCAATAGAATTAATGTTCAAAATATACTATCAAGTATAAATTTCTTTAAACAAAAAGGTGTTTTCAGGCTTTTTCATGTTTCCAGCTACAGTCACAGGATAAATAGTAGGCCTACACAATAGGCTAGTAGTAAATCTAATTATATTTTATTAATCACTAAATCAATTATTTATTCCATAGCTGGAGACATTTATGGTGGCCTATCAAGAACTTTCCTTACAAGGGAAGGGAAGAAGGCCAAGCCCCCCCCCCCAACTACAATTCCCAAAACATATCACTTACTCTTGATGCTCCACAAGATCAAGGTTGGGGGAAACAAGACATACAAAGATGTGGAGTTGTCGTTTTAAAAACTGTTCCCCCAAAGCAGTTATCAACCCAATAGGTTTGAGTGTAGCAGCAACTGCTGCATTACTTGTAGGCATCACGTCTTTATTAGATTACATTACATTACTCCACTAAATTTTGATTCTGTTTCTCCTGCTCGAGATAACTGTGGCATTTTTTAAAAATAATATTTTAACTCATGTGATTTTTGAAAATAATGAACACATTATTCCTGTTAATGTTACCAACAAAATAGTTTTAGAGTTATTCTATGTCCAAAGCAAAAAAAAAAAATTATGAAAATAAAAGTGACCAAAACGCATTTTTGTCATTTTCAATTATTTTTTTACCTTAGAAAGACTCATTTTAGATGACTGAAAAAAATTGGGCATATATATTACAAACTTTGCAGTAACTTTACCAATTTCTACACTTCTATGTTATTTAGTTTAGAAAATATGGGTTCTCAAAAATGGCACTTTTTAAAAATCAGTTTTTTAACAAATTTTGCTTTTTTAAAAATCGCATAACTTTTTTATTTATTAAGATATTTTTAAAAAATTTGTGGCATAGAGCTTACAATTAAAAGTTCTTTCATGACATACTCACTCCAGAAGTCTGCAGTCAATAGTTAATTTCAGTTTGGACTACCTAGTAACAGGAGGGACAGATGTCAAAATCAATATTGATATGTACACGTTCATATTTTATGCCATCTTCCCTTCAACAAAACAATTTTATTTTTAAAATAATTTCGAGCCTGCCAGGATTCGAACCTGGAATCTTCTGATCCGTAGTCACAGGCCCCTACAGCCAATCTTTCGGAAAACTCATAAAAATAGCTCAATAAGTATCAAAATATTGCAAAACTTTAAACTTTGCTTTTACATTACCCACCGTCAACCCCCCCCCCACACACACACACCCCAACACTAACAGTTTCCACACATGCCCCTCGCTTCTTCATTTCCAATCCCCTCCCACCCCCACACCCACACTTACTGTTTCCAGAGGTCACCCTGTCCACACACGCCCCTCCCGTCTCCCTCCTGCCCCTGAAGACAGCCGAACTGAGACAGCACTGGCCAGCAGCACAGTCTGAGCTGGTCAGACAGCTCTTTGTCTGTCTGACATGCTGTCTGTCCTCTGCTGTCTGTGGACAAAGTAAACAGACACGTCATGCCAACAAACACAAGTAAACAGACACGTCATGCCAACAAACACAAGTAAACAGACACGTCATGCCAACAAACACAAGTAAACAGACACGACATGCCAACAAACACAAGTAAACAGACACGTCATGCCAACAAACACAAGTAAACAGACACGACATGCCAACAAACACAAGTAAACAGACACGTCATGCCAACAAACACAAGTAAACAGACACGACATGCCAACAAACACAAGTAAACAGACACGACATGCCAACAAACACAAGTAAACAGACACGTCATGCCAACAAACACAAGTAAACAGACACGTCATGCCAACAAACACAAGTAAACAGACACGTCATGCCAACAAACACAAGTAAACAGACACGTCATGCCAACAAACACAAGTAAACAGACACGACATGCCAACAAACACAAGTAAACAGACACGACATGCCAACAAACACAAGTAAACAGACACGTCATGCCAACAAACACAAGTAAACAGACACGTCATGCCAACAAACACAAGTAAACAGACACGTCATGCCAACAAACACAAGTAAACAGACACGACATGCCAACAAACACAAGTAAACAGACACGACATGCCAACAAACACAAGTAAACAGACACGTCATGCCAACAAACACAAGTAAACAGACACGTCATGCCAACAAACACAAGTAAACAGACACTTCATGCCAACAAGATAATTACTTTGACGTCACTGTTTGAACCGACTTAATTACAGGTAACCAATTGGGGAGGTAACTCGACACTATCTTGGGGTTAGGGGCAGCTATGGGGGTTAGGGGCAGCTATGGGGGGTTAGGGGGGAACTCTGATTATGTAATGGCTGTACAGCTTTACATTATGGCTGTACAGCTTTACAAGATTAGTGGACAGCTTTACAAAATGTTTGTGTCAGCGTTTATATGTAACGACGTCTCACATATGTGTGATGATGTATGTATAAATGGGCAGCCATGTTTTAATGGCTGCTTCGGCACGCAACAAACTACAGAATATGTGAAGATAAAATGTGTTTCTTTGACAAAATATGAAATTAAAATGTGAATCATCGACTAAATGTGAAAGAAAAATGTGAATCATCGACGAAATGTGAAAAAGTGACCAACTGACCACACAGGCGAACACAAAAACTCCAAGAATCACAAACTTCATGGCCGGTAACTCCGTCAAATCTCGTCTCGTGTAAAAAATGAGATAAGACCTAGAATCTCTAGGTCTTTTGTGTCTAATTTGTTTGCTTTCACAAACCGGATTCAGGCGGTTGTTACAGTTGTAATTATTTTAAGCAAGGTAATTGTCGCTTACTTTAATTTTTTTTTAAGGGGAGGTCATCCAATGTTTGAAGTGAAGCTTGCTATTTGGAGTTACGGTTCGTTAACTGTCATCGCGGGCCTTTTTAACTTGGTCAAAATGGCGGATAGAGTAGGTGACCCCGGCATATAAAGGAATAATGTGTTCAGCTCTATGCCCAGCCGCTTAAATCGTAAAGCGATTGAGGTACCCAGAAGTTTAATAGCGGAAATAGATTTGTATAATTTCTTTAAATATTTCATGAAATAAATTTATAAATCTGGGTGCTCACTTATGGAGAATATATCCCCTTTCATAAGGGGATATAGGTTCATGATAGGTTTATGTTCTATAACAACAAGACCTAAGTTCACTTTCCATCATTGAGCGCCCAGGCTTTTATTTTTAGTCATACCAGCATATAGCTTTAGTAAGGTTTAACCGAACTGTAGATCTATTTATATTTCACTTTTTAGTGCATTTTTTATTTCTAATTGTTTTTGGTGATTTATTTATAAATAAAAGGTTGTTTTTTTTTTTATGTGAAAATTATTTTACACTTTTTAGTCATTCGTTCGAAATGTGGGTGACACTATAGGGCCTAGAGGCTAGGTCTAAAATACTTTGGTTAAACCCCGACCACTATAGGACCTAGAGGCTAGGTCTAAAATACTTTGGTTAAACCCCGACCACTATAGGACCTAGAGGCTAGGTCTAAAATACTTTGGTTAAACCCCGACCAGTAGATTGTAAACAAAAGCCTGTTGTTGACCCTCGAACTTTGAACCAGCTGTGGCAGACAGCTCACCCTCTACTGTTCGCTCATTGAGCTAGTACTTTATCTTGTTGTCTTCCCTTAGTTACGAACCCCTTTCATTTATTATTAATAACTAATTTTAACATCAAATTAAATTACAAAATTTTAATTCTTGCATTGTCAACGATGAAAAAGGTAGAGATCTATCTGGAAAGTGGGTAAAAAAAACTGCGTTATAAAAATTTCCACAAACTGTCATATATCAGGCGAGCTTCTGTTGAAAGACTTGTTGATGTGCTCAAATAAGTGTAGTGGCACAAGTTCCCGGGACAAGTTGAATATATGAACAAGTTGCTGGAACAAGTTTTATGTGTGAACAAGTTGCTGGAACATTGTTCCCTAACACTGGAAAGATTTGACGTTGAGAAATGATTGAGACATATTTTGGTTTTTAAAGAGAAAAAAAAATCGAGCCTGCCAGGATTCGAACCTGGAATCTTTTGATCCGTAGTCAGACGCGTTATCCGTTGCGCCACAGGCCCTACGTACAAGCAGGTTTACTTAGAAACAAATTATTTGATTTTCATCATTAGAGACCGACAGTCACAAACTGATTTCTGTCACTAAATGTGATTTTGTTACATGGTCTAATCGATACCTGACTAGATCGGTGACCCACACTTGTAATCGATACCTGACTAGATCGGTGACCCACTGTTGTAATCGATACCTGACTAGATCGGTGACCCAATGTTGTAATCGATACATAACTAGATCGGTGACCCAATGTTGTAATCGATACATAACTAGATCGGTGACCCACTGTTGTAATCGATACCTGACTAGATCAGTGACCCACTGTTGTAGTCGATACCTGACTAGATCAGTGACCCCCTGTTGTAATCGATACCTAACTAGATCGGTGACCCACTGTTGTAATCGATACCTGACTAGATCAGTGACCCACAGTTGTAATCGATACCGAATGCTTAATGTCACTAGCATTATCTTCAAACAAAAAAGTATTTTTTTTTAATTGTTAAAATAATAAGCTTTTATATGCGTTGAAAATAAAAATAAAACTTGCATTAGTTAAAATATTGGTCGCTGATGAAGTCTCTTACATATTTTAGCGACTGAAGAATGTTAGACTGATAATGAGATATTCTTGTGTTGTTATCGGTTACAAATTAATCTGTAAGCTGAACTAAATCGCTGCATTAGAATTGGGTCAAAATTGTGTTAAAAAATTCGCCACAGGCAAAAGGAAAGATAGGAAAATTGTCAAATACATATAAAAGTTTGTAAAAAGCAAATTAATTTATTTTTATTGCTTTTTTTCACGGTCAAGCTGGAAACAAGTTTAAACTGAAACAAAATCTTCTGCAAAATGACGTCTGCTAAAGGTGACGTCTTCTAGAGGTGACGTCTGCTGGCGTTGACGTGTAGACTATCCACAAGTTCCTGGTGACAAGAGAAAACATCACGTGACTAAATGTTCAGATGGTAACATTAAATATTAAAGTCTCGCCACACCCCCACCCCACACCCACCCATAGATAGTTTTCACCACACCATACACCCAAAGGTCAACCCACCCCACCGTACCCATAGGGTCAACTGATCACTCGACCCCCAGGTTTCACTAACCCCCCCCCCCCCATATACCCTCTAGGGTCAACTGATCCCACCCTACCCCCTAAGGTCAACTGGCCTACCCTACCCCCTAGGGTCAACTGACCACCCCACCCTTCCCCCTAGGGTCAACTGATCACCCCTAACCCCTGGGATCAACTGATCACCCCTAACCCCTGGGATCAACTGATCACCCCTAACCCCTAGGGTCAACTGACCACCCGACCTTACCCCCTAGGGTCAACTGGCCCAACCCGACCCCCATGTTTGACTCACCTGTCTCCCCCTGGGGTATCACCATGAAACCTGACCCGTGGCAGGACAGACCAGCGGCACAGGGACATTCCATGTTCATGTCTGACACCTGGGTCACCCTCACCAGGCAGTCTGGGGGTCAAGGTGGGGGGTCAAGTTAGGGGGGGGGTCAACATTAAGTCAAAATGAAAAGTTTGTTTAGCGAAAAATTGCGTCAGTGTGAGACGAATATGAACATTTTTTTAGTTAACATTTTTTGGATAGATACATTACTACATTTGTTAATTATAAACTTTTTTTTAAAATAAATCTTGAGAAATATCTTTTGTACAAGATTATAAAACTACATTTGGACATGGTTATAAAACTACAACTTTTGGATATGATAATAAAACTACAACTTTTGGACATGATTATAAAACTACAACTTTTGGACATGATTATAAAACTACAACTTTTGGACATAATTATAAAACTACAACTTTTGGACATGATTATAAAACTACAACTTTTGGACATGATTATAAAACTACAACTTTTGGACATGATTATAAAACTAAAACTTTTGGACATGATTATAAAACTACAACTTTTGGACATGATTATAAAACTACAACTTTTGGACATGATTATAAAACTACAACTTTTGGACATGATTACAAAACTACAACATTTGGACATGATTATAAAACTACAACATTTGGACATGATTATAAAACTACAATTTTTGGACATGATTATAAGACTACAACTTTGGACATGATTATAAGACTACAACTTTGGACATGATTATAAAACTACAACTTTTGGACATGATTATAAAACTACAACTTTTGGACATGATTATAAAACTACAACTTTTGGACATGATTATAAAACTACAACTTTGGGACATGATTATAAAACTACAACTTTTGGACATGATTATAAAACTACAACTTTTGGACATGATTATAAAACTACAACTTTGGGACATGATTATAAAACTACAACTTTCGGACATGATTATAAAACTACAACTTTCGGACATGATTATAAAACTACAACTTTGGACATGATTATAAAACTACAACTTTGGGACATGATTATAAGAAACTACAACTTTTGGACATGATTATAAGACTACAACCTTTGGACATGATTATAAAACTACAACTTTTGGACATGATTATAAAACTACAACTTTCGGACATGATTATAAAACTACAACTTTTGGACATGATTATAAAACTACAACTTTCGGACATGATTATAAAACTACAACTTTCGGACATGATTATAAAACTACAACTTTTGGACATGATTATAAAACTACAACTTTTGGACATGATTATAAAACTACAACTTTTGGACATGATTATAAAACTACAACTTTTGGACATGATTATAAAACTACAACTTTGGACATGATTATAAAACTACAACTTTCGGACATGATTATAAAACTACAACATTTGGACATGATTATAAAACTACAACTTTCGGACATGATTATAAAACTACAACTTTTGGACATGATTATAAGACTACAACTTTGGACATGATTATAAAACTACAACTTTTGGACATGATTATAAAACTACAACTTTTGGACATGATTATAAAACTACAACTTTTGGACATGATTATAAAACTACAACTTTGGACATGATTATAAAACTACAACTTTCGGACATGATTATAAAACTACAACATTTGGACATGATTATAAAACTACAACTTTCGGACATGATTATAAAACTACAACTTGTGGACATGATTATAAAACTACACCTACTGGACATGATTATAAAACTACAACTTTTGGACATGATTATAAGACTACAACTACTGGACATTAGTGTAAGACTACAAACAAGGACCTACAGTCTCCGACTCCACCAAGTTTCTTGCACACTCCCCCAGCCCCAAAGGCCGCTCGCCTTCTCCCCACGGGCTGCATGAGGCTGATACAACATTCGTCTGCCCCACAGTCCCTGACAGTAGAGCAGGGGGCGTCCACAGCTTTCTTGGTCAGGGCAGGGGCCGAACACACGCCTGATATGTAAACAAATGGAGGATGTTATACATTGTTTATGCATTTTTTAATAAACCTAAAAAAATTGGACTAAATTTTAAAACTACATACTCACCAACCTCCCCCTGGGGTACCTAAAATGTGTACTCACCAACCTCCCCCTGGGGTACCTAAAGTGTGTACTCACCAACCTCCCCCTGAGGTACCTAAAGTGTGTACTCACCAACCTCCCCGTGGGGTACCTAAAGTGTGTACTCACCAACCTCCCCCTGGGGTACCTAAAATATGTACTCACCAACCTCCCCCTGGGGTACCTAAAGTGTGTACTCACCAACCTCCCCCTGGGGTACCTAAAAGGTGTACTCACCAACCTCCCCCTGGGGTACCTAAAGTGTGTACTCACCAACCTCCCCCTGGGGTAGTGTGTACCCACCAACCTCCCCCTGGGGTACCTAAAGTATGTACTCACCAACCTCCCCCTGGGGTACCTAAAGTGTGTACTCACCAACCTCGCCCTGGGGTACCTAAAGTGTGTACTCAGAAACCTCGCACTGGCGTACCTAAAGTGTGTACTCACCAACCTCCCCCTGGGGTACCTAAAGTGTGTACTCACCAACCCTGGGGTACCTAAAGTGTGTACTCACCAACCTCCCCGTGGGGTACCTAAAGTGTGTACTCACCAACCTCCCCCTGGGGTACCTAAAGTGTGTACTCACCAACCTCCCCCTGGGGTACCTAAAGTGTGTACTCACCAACCTCCCCCTGGGGTAGTGTGTACTCACCAACCTTCCCCTGAGGTACCTAAAGTGTGTACTCACCAACCTCCCCCTGGGGTACCTAAAGTGTGTACTCACCAACCTCCCCCTGGGGTAGTGTGTACTCACCAACCTCCCCCTGGGGTACCTAAAGTGTGTACTCACCAACCCTGGGGTACCTAATGTGTGTACTCACCAACCTCCCCCTGGGGTAGTGTGTACTCACCAACCTTCCCCTGAGGTACCTAAAGTGTGTACTCACCAACCTCCCCCTGGGGTACCTAAAGTGTGTACTCACCAACTTCCCCTGTGGTACCTAAAGTGTGTACTCACCAACCTCCCCCTGGGGTACCTAAAGTGTGTACTCACCAACCTCCCCCTGGGGTACCTAAAGTGTGTACTCACCAACCTCCCCCTGGGGTACCTAAAGTGTGTACTCACCAACCCTGGGGTACCTAAAGTGTGTACTCACCAACCCTGGGGTACCTAAAGTGTGTACTCACCAACCTCCCCCTGGGGTACCTAAAGTGTGTACTCACCAACCTCCCCCTGGGGTACCTAAAGTGTGTACTCACCAACCTCCCCCTGGGGTACCTAAAGTGTGTACTCACCAACCTCCCCCTGGGGTACCTAAAGTGTGTACTCACCAACCTCCCCCTGGGGTACCTAAAGTGTGTACTCACCAACCTCCCCCTGGGGTACCTAAAGTGTGTACTCACCAACCTCCCCCTGGGGTACCTAAAGTGTGTACTCACCAACCTCCCCCTGGGGTACCTAAAGTGTGTACTCACCAACCCTGGGGTACCTAAAGTGTGTACTCACCAACCCTGGGGTACCTAAAGTGTGTACTCACCAACCTCCCCCTGGGGTACCTAAAGTGTGTACTCACCAACCTCCCCGTGGGGTACCTAAAGTGTGTACTCACCAACCTCCCCCTGGGGTACCTACAGTGTGTACTCACCAACCCTGGGGTACCTAAAGTGTGTACTCACCAACCTCCCCCTGGGGTACCTAAAGTGTGTACTCACCAACCTCCCCCTGGGGTACCTAAAGTGTGTACTCACCAACCCTGGGGTACCTAAAGTGTGTACTCACCAACCTCCCCGTGGGGTACCTAAAGTGTGTACTCACCAACCTCCCCCTGGGGTACCTAAAGTGTGTACTCACCAACCTCCCCCTGGGGTACCTAAAGTGTGTACTCACCAACCTCCCCCTGGGGTACCTAAAGTGTGTACTCACCAACCTCCCCCTGGGGTACCTAAAGTGTGTACTCACCAACCTCCCCCTGGGGTACCTAAAGTGTGTACTCACCAACCTCCCCCTGGGGTACCTAAAGTGTGTACTCACCAACCTCCCCCTGGGGTACCTAAAGTGTGTACTCACCAACCTCCCCCTGGGGTACCTAAAGTGTGTACTCACCAACCTCCCCCTGGGGTAGTGTGTACTCACCAACCTCCCCCTGGGGTACCTAAAGTGTGTACTCACCAACCTCCCCCTGGGGTACCTAAAGTGTGTACTCACCAACCTCCCCCTGGGGTACCTAAAATGTGTACTCACCAACCTCCCCCTGGGGTACCTACAGTGTGTACTCACCAACCCTGGGGTACCTAAAGTGTGTACTCACCAACCTCCCCCTGGCGTACCTAAAGTGTGTACTCACCAACCTCCCCCTGGGGTACCTAAAGTGTGTACTCACCAACCTCCCCCTGGGGTACCTAAAGTGTGTACTCACCAACCTCCCCCTGGGGTAGTGTGTACTCACCAACCTCCGCCTGGGGTACCTAAAGTGTGTACTCACCAACCTCCCCCTGGGGTACCTAAAGTGTGTACTCACCAACCTCCCCCTGGGGTACCTAAAGTGTGTACTCACCAACCTCCCCCTGGGGTAGTGTGTACTCACCAACCTCCCCCTGGGGTACCTAAAGTGTGTACTCACCAACCTCCCCCTGGGGTAGTGTGTACTCACCAACCTCCCCCTGGGGTACCTAAAGTGTGTACTCACCAACCTCCCCCTGGGGTACCTAAAGTGTGTACTCACCAACCTCCCCCTGGGGTACCTAAAGTGTGTACTCACCAACCTCCCCCTGGGGTAGTGTGTACTCACCAACCTCCCCCTGGGGTACCTAAAGTGTGTACTCACCAACCTCCCCCTGGGGTACCTAAAGTGTGTACTCACCAACCTCCCCCTGGGGTAGTGTGTACTCACCAACCTCCCCCTGGGGTACCTAAAGTGTGTACTCACCAACCTCCCCCTGGGGTACCTAAAGTGTGTACTCACCAACCTCCCCCTGGGGTACCTAAAGTGTGTACTCACCAACCTCCCCCTGGGGTACCTAAAGTGTGTACTCACCAACCTCCCCCTGGGGTAGTGTGTACTCACCAACCTCCCCCTGGGGTACCTAAAGTGTGTACTCACCAACCTCCCCCTGAGGTACCTAAAGTGTGTACTCACCAACCTCCCCCTGGGGTACCTAAAGTGTGTACTCACCAACCTCCCCCTGGGGTACCTAAAGTGTGTACTCACCAACCTCCCCGTGGGGTACCTAAAGTGTGTACTCACCAACCTCCCCCTGGGGTACCTAAAGTGTGTACTCACCAACCTCCCCCTGGGGTACCTAAAGTGTGTACTCACCAACCTCCCCCTGGGGTACCTAAAGTGTGTACTCACCAACCTCCCCCTGGGGTAGTGTGTACTCACCAACCTCCCCCTGGGGTACCTAAAGTGTGTACTCACCAACCTCCCCCTGGGGTACCTAAAGTGTGTACTCACCAACCTCCCCCTGGGGTACCTAAAGTGTGTACTCACCAACCTCCCCCTGGGGTACCTAAAGTGTGTACTCACCAACCTCCCCCTGGGGTACCTAAAGTGTGTACTCACCATCCTCCCCCTGGGGTACCTAAAGTGTGTACTCACCAACCTCCTCCTGGGGTACCTAAAGTGTGTACTCACCAACCTCCCCCTGGGGTAGTGTGTACTCACCAACCTCCCCCTGGGGTACCTAAAGTGTGTACTCACCAACCTCCCCCTGGGGTACCTAAAGTGTGTACTCACCAACCTCCCCCTGGGGTACCTAAAATGTGTACTCGCCAACCTCCCCCTGGGGTACCTAAAGTGTGTACTCACCAACCTCCCCCTGGGGTAGTGTGTACTCACCAACCTCCCCCTGGGGTAGTGTGTACTCACCAACCTCCCCCTGGGGTACCTATAGTGTGTACTCACCAACCTCCCCCTGGGGTAGTGTGTACTCACCAACCTCCCCCTGGGGTAGTGTGTACTCACCAACCTCCCCCTGGGGTAGTGTGTACTCACCAACCTCCCCCTGGGGTACCTAAAGTGTGTACTCACCAACCTCCCCCTGGGGTAGTGTGTACTCACCAACCCCCCCCCCCCCTGGGGTACCTAAAGTGTGTACTCACCAACCTCCCCCTGGGGTAGTGTGTACGCACCAACCTCCCCCTGGGGTAGTGTGTACTCACCAACCTCCCCCTGGGGTAGTGTGTACTCACCAACCTCCCCCTGGGGTAGTGTGTACTCACCAACCTCCCCCTGGGGTAGTGTGTACTCACCAACCTCCCCCTGGGGTAGTGTGTACTCACCAACCTCCCCCTGGGGTACCTAAAGTGTGTACTCACCAACCTCCCCCTGGGGTACCTAAAGTGTGTACTCACCAACCTCCCCCTGGGGTAGTGTGTACTCACCACCCCCCCCCCTGGGGTACCTAAAGTGTGTACTCACCAACCTCCCCCTGGGGTAGTGTGTACTCACCAACCTCCCCCTGGGGTAGTGTGTACTCACCAACCTCCCCCTGGGGTAGTGTGTACTCACCAACCTCCCCCTGGGGTAGTGTGTACTCACCAACCTCCCCCTGGGGTACCTCACGAAAACCTGAGCCCACACAGTGACTGCCGTCCTGACAGGGACAGCTGTTGTAGTACATCGTGCTGTCATGTGTCGGTAGATACTGCTCGTTGTTCACGTAACATTCTGGGTGGTGAGAAATGGGACAGGTGGGACAAATGGGACAGGTGGTGACAAACGTGACAGGTGGGACAAATGTGACAGGTGGGACAGGTGGGACAGGTGGGACAGGTGGGACAGGTGGGACAAATGGGACAGGTGGGACAGGTGGGACAAATGGGACAGGTGGGACAGGTGTGACAGGTTATACAGGTGTGACAAATGTGACAGGTGGGACAGGTGGGACAGGTGGGACAAACGTGACAGGTGGGACAGGTGGGACAGGTGTTACAGGTGGTGACAAATGGGACAGGTGGGACATACGTGACATATGGCACAGGTGGAACAGGTGTGACAAATGGGACAGGTGTGACAGATGTGACAGGTGGGACAGGTGTGACAGGTGAGACAGGTGGGACAGGTGTGACAGGTGAGACAGGTGGGACAGGTGTGATAGGTGTGACAAATGTGACAGGTGTGATAGGTGTGACAGAAGTGACAAGATCACCTAAGTGTGGTCAAACTTGTAAGCTGTAAGCATGTTACAGCCCACCAAGCTACACCCCCTCCCCAGAGGCGTAGCGAGGGGGGGGGGCGGGGGACATATGTCCCCGGGCGCCGACTTTAGGGGGAGCGCCTAAATGAAAAGTTCGCGAGGGGGGAGGGGGTGCAAAACGAAAGTTTGTCCCCGGGTGCCGGGAAGGGTCGCTACGCCTCTGCCCCTCCCTCACAAACTTACTGTCGCCTGTAGTGCCCCTGTGTACACAAAAACTTACTGTCCCCTGTAGTGCCCCTGTGTACACATGTGCCTCCCAGCTGTTTTCTGCCCAGTATGAATCTGCTGCCCATACAACACTGGCCAGCAGCACAGTCTGAGCTGGTCAGACAGCTGTTTGTCTGTCTGGCATGCTGTCTGTCATCTGCTGTCTGTGAACAAGCAAGTCACGTGACACGTGATAGGTTCTGGTTTTAGTTTTCTGCACCAGTCAATAGTGATTGTACACACCAAAACATTGCATAAAAAAAGGTTTTAATAACAGGCTATGATGTAATAATGTACTAAATAGGAGAAAAAAATAAAGAATTAAAAAATAGTGCGGAATAGTAGTATAGGACAGCATATTCATTTCAGAAAATTTTAATTAAGTCTTAAAAATTAATTAGGTACCAATTATGTCAAATTTAATGTCATATTGCATTGTCTTCAAGTCTTGACCCACGCCGAATTTAAGAGAAATTGGTCGGTTAGAAGTGCCCGAAATTTCACTCGCCCGTTTCAGACAGAGGAAGCAAGTTAAATAAAAGCTTTTAAAAAGAAGATGATTCGATATATTTTCATTAGCTTTATAACAGATATAGTATAAATATCAGAGTGTGGGTTGCCAAATATGCATTAGTCGAGTAATGACGTCATTTGACTGCAGTGAATGACAGAATTATCTCCCTGTTAAAAATCCTGTTGTTGTCTGCACTTGTCTCTGTGATTGTTCCGTGGGCCGTGAGTGAGTATCGTCCCTTGGTATTTCACAGGGCTTCTTATCGCCCTTACCCGTGAAAACAGAAACGATAACTGTGTCGCTTCACAGAACAGCGGAGGTAAACAAATAAAGGGGGGTAACTTACAACAGCCGCGACAGCCAGAAATATAAGAATCAAAACCTTCATGTTCACGCGTCAACTCTCGTCTCGTCTATGGCGTGAAGTCACGAGACTTGTCGCTGATTAACGGCCGGTTTGATCCAGATAACAAATTAAATTGTAGGTCTAGTCCCTGGTCAAATCGTGCTAGCATTTTTTTCTTGAGAATACAAGGGCTGTAAAACAGACGCCACCAAGTGACCCCCCCCCCCCCTACAGATGTGTTCCAAATGTGCATGTGACCAGGACAGCCTACAAAATTACGGCCACACATTCAAAGTACTAGTTTTTTTTTTTAATATTTAAAGTTGTTCTACTTTCATTAGATAAAAGATCTTTGTTTTCTTAATTGACCAAGGTTCTAAAGGACGATGGCCTAATGTTCTGTTTTTCAAGTCCTATAGCGGTGTGTGGGTGGGGGGGGGGCTAGTGGTGGTGGCTTTGATCTGTCGTTCCTCTCGTCTGCTTCTTGTCCGTCCTCTGGCTGCATACGTTGTCCACATGTTGATAGTGCTCACCTTCTACCACTAGACACGTCTGATGATGGGGCTCACCATCCATCGCTAGACACACGTCTGTTGATGGTGAGGCAATCGTTGACTAAAGCATGACGGTACAGGGTGGTGTACGGCTGGTGTACGGTTGGTGTACGGTTGGTGTACGGCTGGTGTACGGTTGATGTACGGTTGGTGTACGACTGATGTACGGCTGGTGTACGGTTGGTGTACGGCTGATGTACGGTTGGTGTACGGTTGATGCACGGTTGTTGTACGGCTGGTGTACGGTTGGTGTACGGCTGGTGTACGGTTGATGTACGGCTGGTGTACGGGTAATGTACGGCTGATGTACAGTTGAACTTGAATTACGGCTGATGCACTGAGTCACTTCCTGCCGTAGAACTTCTAGAACTTTCTAAGTGGCTGGGGATTACGTAAGGTAACGAGTGCACGTGAGTCGGGAAGTGGATCTACCCCCCCCCCCCCCCAGCACACCCCACCCCCCACCAAGACATGACCGTGACGGTAAGTGGCTTAAGTGATGTGCTGTAACGAGCTAGTTTAAAACTTCTCCTCCTAGATCTGACGTTGTTGTTACACCCATCACGTGACCAGGTTACAGGTTAAAGGTTTCTCATCCTTTAAACCCCCCCCCCCCCCCCCGTACCAGGAAATAAACAAGAAAGAAAATATACCGGGAGTGAACTCCCCTAAACTTTCTCGAATATTCTTATATAAAAATAACAGGGGATGAGAACTCGGGCTATAGACATGATTTTTAATCAATTTTAAATATTTATAGTAGAAAAAAGAATTGCACACCAGTGAACGCCAAATAAAATGTGCATAATAGTGCTGAATATTATTGGTACTTTATAAATTTACATTCGTTTTTTGAGAAATAGGAAATAGCGTAAATTATTACTTCCGGGCAACGGAAATTACTCAAAATTTGAAAGAAGGTAGAGAATTAGATCTTTTACTTACGTGTGAAATTTCATTTATCTATCTGAAATATTACTCAAGTTATAGGCTTTTGAAAAATTTAAAGTAAAAAAAGTACCATTTCCGGTTATCGGAAATCGCTCAAAAGTTGTTACGGATCTACGATTTTGATAAAATACTTATATATGAAATTTCATCAAGCTAGCTGTAACGGTACTCAAGTTATCGTATTTACAGACACACACAAACACACTCACACATACACACAGACATACGGACAAGATTGCAGAATTTTGTTTTTCCGTATCAGTAAGGTGTAAAACGTCGAGATTTGCAAAAATCTACTTTCTCTATACTTCGTTTATACGAGAAAGTAAAAACGTAAATCTTTGTTTTTATGTAGCTGTTGTTTACATACAACGTGCTAGTAACGTGATTATAGAGATGGACATTTTGAGGTTACCTGAATAGGGGGGGGGGGGTAGATGAAGAAAGAAGAAAAAAAGGGAGGGGGGGGGAGGATCCAAATATAGGAACTGGGTGTGAAAGATTTGGAAATCTTGTGCTAAAATCAGATAGACCATGAAGTAGCATACGAATAAATATTTGTCTACAGCATCATGAAGTTCTACCTGCAATAACGTCTCTACATGTGATGGTTGATGTGACGTAATCAGGTTATATCACTGCCTTGCTTGTTGGTACAACCCCCACCTTAGGAGAGGTTACAACCCCCACCTTAGGAGAGGTTACAACCCCCATCTTAGGAGAGGTTACAACCCCCATCTTAGGAGAGGTTACAACCCCCACCTTAGGAGAGGTTACAACCCCCATCTTAGGAGAGGTTACAACCCCCACCTTAGGAGAGGTTACAACCCCCACCTTAGGAGAGGTTACAACCCCCATCTTAGGAGAGGTTACAACCCCCACCTTAGGAGAGGTTACAACCCCCACCTTAGGAGAGGTTACAACCCCCACCCACCCACGTTAGAAACTTGCCACCACAGAAACTTGCTATTTCAGAAATTTGCCACTACAGAAACTTGCTATTACAGAAATTTGCCACTACAGAAACTTGCTATTACAGAAATTTGCCACTACAGAAACTTGCTATTACAGAAATTTGCTACTACAGAAACTTGCTATTACAGAAATTTGCCACTACAGAAACTTGCTATTACAGAAATTTGTCACCTGATAATCTTGTTAAAGACACGGGTGCCATTATTCATAATGACTAAAGTAACACTAAAAGAACTTGTCATGTTTTACTCAATCAACTTGCCAACACAAAAAAAAAAAAGAAAAAAAAAAACTGGCTAGTCTCCCCTGCTGGGGACCCTGTCTATTTTTAGCACAAGCCTAGCGCGCGAGCTTCACGGGTAGAGCCCATTACGTCACGCGGCTCGCGGGCAGGGGGAGGTAAAAAAAAATGTCTCCCAGCGCGAGAGAGCGGCTCTAGCTCACGCCTGCGTGACGGTGAAGCTGGCAGACGAGAGTGAGTCACCGCCCGCGTCACCCGCGGAACTGTGTCAACCATTCTCCCCGCTCCACAGTGTCGTCAGGATACCCGTTACTTGTTTATTTTTTCTGCACGGAATTTTTCTATTTATAAACCATCTGAACGGTAAGGCATCCCTACTTTGACAATGCTTTAGCTATGGTTCAATGAGCTTCATTTGCTTTTCAAAGTGGATATTTTTTGGTTCGTTAAAAGTCAGTTTTGTTGCAGTTCTGTTTTTTAACGTGCTATGATTGTAAGGCTCCTGTGTTCACAACAATCTATCGTCTGCTTCTGTCGGAGATCGGGCGAGGTATCGATTTGGTTTTTACAAAACTCCAACTGTCGAAATGCTAAATAAACAAATCAAAACCAAAATGTTGGCCTATCATACCAGTTGTATTTAAAATATTTATGTTATTTTTTGATATTTCAAGTTTATAATTGACACTGAAGCACATGCGAGTAAATTTAATTCAAGACGTCCATTCTTTGGTGGTGCTTGTCGTGGCCTTCACCTTTCTTTTTGTTTTAACCTGATTCGTTTCTTTGTCAGAAGACGATGGATTAACTTTTTGTGTCCGATTGATTTTTTTTTTTTTACAATGCTTCACCAGTCAATGTGGTTGTCAATTTTTAGAAAAGTGGATTCAATGTGTGGGGTTGTATGGTGATTAAATAGCTGTAATTAAATTGTTTTAGTGTTAAAATGCCAATGTCAACACCTAGTGCAAGAAAGGGAAACGTGTTTATATTGGAATCAATGACTCACAAACCCCAAGGGAAAGCACTGCCGTTACACAGCGCCAGTGGTCGCCTGAAATTCTGGCACCAAGAGTTATCCGCACCTAGGTCTAATGTGCACTTTATGAGCACTCAAAAAAAACTTGGCAGTTGAAAGGGTTGAGGATAATTAATGCCTTGGGTGGGGGAGTGGGGGTTTATAAAAATAGCTTTAGTTTGAAGGATAAATTAGTAATGTGCTCATGCCTCTTCTTTACTCTTATATATACATACTATACATACATACACACACAACATATATATATATATATATATATATATATATATATATATATATATATATATATATATATATATATATATATATATATATATATATATATATATACAACCATCTGAGATACTTTAGAACCTCTCGCTGTATATACCGATTGCCATACCAAAATCACTGACTAATTTTTGTTGTGATAGTATGATGTAGGATGTCTGATGTTGGATGTCTGATGTTGGATGTCTGATGCTTGATCTGCGATGATTGATGTTTTATTTGTCGTGTGTTACGTTTGACATCTGATGATTGGCATGTGATGTGTAATGTGTGAATGTGGTGTGTGATTGTGGTGTGTGATTGTGGTGTGTGATAGATGAGATATCCCACACGATGTGAGAAAGTTCTCTGAATAATCTGACGAACATCGTGACTTGACCTTCGGCGTAACTAGGTCAGCGTGACCTTTACCACCCCCCCCCCCCCCCATTCAGATGGAATCCCCTAACATCGAATAATGCGAACAAGATCTCTGGAACTCATCACCAGCACAATGTGCAGCCGGTACCGCACATTGTGGGAGGGCGTGGTTCCATCTCACACAGATGTAACAATAAGCAGAACTACGGTCACACCCCCGTTATGGGGTGGGGGGTAGAAGAATTTACTTCCTGGTTCAGAGTGCTACCCCCACACCATCACGCCAACGATCTTGTTTGTATACACCGTTATAGGCAGGCAGGGATTAACTGGAGGCCATGTTTATATCAGGCAGGGATTAACTGGCGGTCGATAGTGCCAGTGACCCAATAGCGTGACTCGTGTATTGTCCATTTAAATAGCCAAAAGTTGTTTTACAAAAACTGGCTGAGTGCAGGCAGAACATGAGCAGACGATGTGTCTAGATCGATGGCTTTTGTCAGAGATCGATATCCGCCATTGTAGCAGTTGATGGTCAACGTATGGTGGGCGGCTGTGGTGTGGATGGTGTGGTCAGCTGATGGTGTGGTCAGCTGATGGTGTGGTCAGCTGATGGTGTGGTCAGCTGATAGTGTGGTCAGCTGATGCTGTGGTCAGATGATGGTGTGGTCAGCTGATGGTGTGGTCAGCTGATGGTGTGGTCAGCTGATGGTGTGGTCAGCTGGTGGTGTGGTCAGCT